AATATCAGCTGTTAAATAAACAATTAGTTAACACATCAATTGTGTAAATATTGTTTTTGAAAAAATGATTACATTTTTTTTAACAATTTTCTTACTTTAACCTATTTTTTTTTTTAGATATTATAAGGATAAAATATCCCAAAAACTTTGCTTTCCCTACGCACTAAAACCTAATAAAACCGCATTACAATTCGATGATTAAAATAAAATAATAACAATGAAAAATGTGTAAAGCAAACTACCAACTCAAAGCAAACAACTCCAATTAAAATAAATGTTTTAGGTTCAAAGCATTAACGTAACAACTAAGTATGGCTTTTCGGCATATATCCGTACTACGACTTTACATCCAAAATAAACCTCGAGGATCCATCAAAAGTGAGCTTTTAGAAATGTTCATATTATTTTAAAACATATACCTCTACATTCCCACGTATACTGAAAGCTTGAAATCTCTAAGTATTTGTTTGCAACAAAAATATTTCCAATTTGCATAATAATATTTTAAGAACTAGTTGGAAAAAAAATCGACCTTTAATAAAATAACCAATAATGTTATTACTTATTTTTTTACGACCAATGTGAGAAATTATTAATAGTTTTTTGTTATTGGTGTAAATATAATTTTTTTTTGTTAATAGAAGTATAAATTAGCCCAAATTGTTTGAGAAATAAATGTTTAATTAATTTTCGAAACCTTATGTTGATCATAGTAAAATATTCAACGATTATGATTTATGACTTAAAAAATTGCATAATTTTGCGAGGACCAATAAAACAAATGCTTCTTAGTTTTTAACGGTAATATCCAGACATATTTTTTAGCACGTGCGAACACCAAAGATAAAAATCAAATTTAGAACTTTTGCTGAGAAATATATACACATACAAAAAATACGTGCTAGGATAACGTTATCGACAAATAACAATGTGGTGTTAACTATTTTTCGCGTGGACATATTTCTACATGGAAATTGTCCATGCAGCGAAAAATATACTTAACGCAGCTTTTGCAGGGTCCAAATTGGTCGAGCATCGATTACGCTAGACGGTACCTCAAGCTATAAATATGGCGATCAATATATCTTTATAATATACATAATAAATAACATGATATTTTTTTTTCTTTCTATGGTACTTTAAAATCTTTAGATTCAAACTTTAAACTTCATAAATATTGGATTTTAAAAAAAAATTATAAGAAGACAATATACAAGTCTCCGTTTCTAAGAGAAGAACGCTTATTTAATACAAAAGAACGGTCTTCTTGTTAATTTCTATGAACACAGTAGATAGAAATTATTAACAACTAACATAGTATAAAAAATAGAAATTTAAGAGACCATTCCAAAAGAATCCAATAAAAACGTTAAATCATCAAATATATAATAATATGTTTATGTTATATGGTAAATTTTACCTAAAAATACAAGGTCTGCGACATCAGCACGAGAATTTTATCCATGATACAACTTAAGATGAAATATGTATTTTTAACCATACAGATACTAGAGATATAATTTTCTAAACTACATCATCCGTCAATAACAAACATTTACACTTCACACTAATTAAGAATTACATTAGGTTACTTTTGTAACACAATGTATTTTTCTACTAATAAAACTAGTTAGTTTAATTACCATTCAAAATTTGAATGTAAAACAAAAATGTAGAAAAGACAAAAGCAACATTTATGGTTATATATATATATATGTATAATTAAAGAATAAAATATTTAAAAAAAACCTTAAACACAAAAAATAATACACTTGTATACTCGTATTCTGATAACAATGCTATCATCATCAGCGTTTACAACTGACTGAGACCGATTACAAGTGAATAACCTTCTTTTATACAGCAGCGTTATACCGGAAGTGATGACTCATCGTCACATGTTTTTATGAACTTCAGTAAAACGTTTTGTAATGGACTAAGACCCAGTTTAACAAAGTGTTCTTATTTTTTAACAATGCTTAAGAAAACACAGTCAGAAATAAACTTTTAATATATTACATTAGTAAAACGTTTTGTAATGAACTAATTCCCAGTTTAACAAAGTGTTCTTATTTTTTAATAATGCTAAAAAATAACAGTCAAAACTAAACATTTAATATATTATATTTTTATTAATAGTTGAATAACATTATCGGAACACAATTTAACGTTTCCTTATCAAGTTTATCACAGTATGAATTTTTTTCATTTTAACTTAAAAAAACACAAGTAAATTATTACAATTATTAATACAAGTATAATTATTACTATCATTGTACTAAAAAATATATATAAACGTATACTTTACCCGTTTGTATTACCTGTGTTATCGTACATATTCTCCTTAAAACTAAAGTTATGGGCAGTATGCATGTTAGGTATTATCTGAAAAATTGTAGATAGGGAAATGTATAGACCAATTTCTAAAATAAATTAGGTTTTATCATTCACTATTGCCACAACCTAGTTTTACAAATAATTTACTCTAAACATTTTATAAAACTTATTTATTTAACCGTATTCAATGCTTTCCAACGACTGAATTATTTGATATTATATCTCCAGTATCATGGGTTCATCGAAATTATAATAAATTGGCTGTTTCCATTGGCTAATAATTCCTCTTGTCATCACCACCTGCACATATTTATGAGGACACCAAATGTATTATCTATTTTTTTCATATAACATAATTTGACATTAAAAGCTTTCATTAAGGCGTAATTAAACCGTAACGTAATGATTATAGATACTGATCAAAATACATGTGGCTAAGAGTTATCATATTTATTATTTTCTATCGGATATTTTATATCCGTATAAAATCAACACCTAGTCTGTTTGGAGTCAAAACTAAGTATAATATATTATACTATAACTACTGGTTAAAAGCTGGAACTCGATAATTAAATATTGTTCAATTTATACTTAAGTTAACATTTTTATTTTTTGTATAATATCATGTTAAGAGAACACCACACATGCCAATTTTTCGTTAAAAAACAAGGCTTACTACTCTGTTTACGGCTTATCTGAACATATTTATCGTACCAACAATATTATTATGTTGATAATTGTAGAAAGATCAAAACTAAATGTCAAATACGAATGTGACGCGTCAAAAAAACGACAGACGCTAATAATATGTACATTATAGTAATGCTGGCATATCGTTGTGTGAACAACAGCGAAATTCAATATAGGATCAAAAGATTGGTCGAGTTTATTTCCATTAAAAATGTGCATGAAGTTATTTTGGAAAAGTTCATTTTGAAAACGGTAAACGAAAAAGTTGCCAAATCAAAAATACATCAGTAGATAATAGGACAATCGCTATAAGAATAATGCTATACATTCACGGCTTTCTCTCAGGCCTAAACCTATATGCATCGAATTTCGAAAAATATATGTATTATACAGTCGGGTGTTAAATTACTATGGAAAAAAAATACATCATGTTCTCTCCCCAACGTTTCCGCTATCCTATACCCTTCATCACGCGTTGTACATTATTATTATTATTATAATGTTGTACCCGAAGCTTTACAGAAAAAAAACCCTTATGCTATATTATACTATTGTACCGTTTTGAGAGTTATAAAGTTATATTTCGTACATTTCGACTTTGATAAACGGCGTTTCGCAAAAGCACACCCGCATATACGTGACCGGCAACCGGATCTAGGTTTTAATGTCACTATCGAGTCACCGGATTTGAGTCTTTTTTTTTTTTTTTAAAGTCGTCACGGCTTTATCATTATTATTAATACAACATAATATTACATCTTCATTCTTCTTAACGGAGAGAAGTATTTTTAAAAAGACGCGATAGTGTCGCGTGAACGAAAGTAAAATTGTTTTTCTCCAGTGACAATTTTAACATTATAGAAATATTAACGGTTTTCAATTTTGTGTGTGGAAATGAAACCGAATCGGGTATTACTTTGTTGTGAGTGTTTTACCTGCGATGTATTTTAAACCATTAATTCTACAGATTAAATATCGTACCTGAAAGGTACAATGCTGGGCTAAAAATATGGAAAGTCCCCTTTACCTTCCCCTTTAGAATCACCTGAGAAAAACATCCAAAAAATGTACATATTTTGCACCTTCAAAAAACGTCGCTCTAAAACTTGTTTTAAAAATAGTAGAACTATTTCCAAATTGGCATATGCAATATTCTTCAGATAGAGTGTTAACTAAACAAATACCATAGACCTTTTCCCCCAGAAAGGGTGGACAATTTTTCGTTATTACGTTTTTTTGAGGTATAATTTCGAGACTTAAGGTCTGAGAATTAGTCTAAAGGTAGATCAAGAGTGAGGATTTTCTCCAAATCTATAGTCATTTTTATATATATAGGAATAACTAACAAATAAAAAAAGGAAGAATTGCATTTTAACCATTGTACAATTCCAAGTTGTTTATGAGGTGTAGTTTTAAGGCTTTAGGTCTGAAAATTAGATATAGTCAAATAAGTGGTCTATAGTCAAATTTTTTACATATTTTTTTTGTACTAAGGAAAACCCAAAAAAAAAGAAGTACATTTTTTTATTGCTATGTGTGAGTGAATCAAAAGACAACGGGTATTCGAAAGACATTTTGATTTTATTGATAATTGCGATTTACGGGCAACAAATTATTATAGATAGACGATCAATCCTAAACGTATCCTCCTTAATACTAAAATTACACGCGTTAAGGTCATCGCGGGTTTTGCAATACGATTTTTTTTCTCTAATTTTACTGTCCGTAGATTCGCATCGAAACGTCGGTTTTTTTTTTTTAAAGTAATTTTATCACCTTCAGTTGTAATAATTCCTGTAGACCTCTGACCTATCCTCCCACGCCCAATTATGCAACGACTCATTATGCCGGGGTTTTTTTTTTTGATTGACTCGGCGTTTAAACGAATGTGGTATTTTCAATTCGCACTTGTCCTTGTCCGTTCACGAAGAGCACTCTGGCGGTCCGATTGACTTATTGTCCCTTGGCCGTGTGTTAGTGTGTCGGAACGAGCGCTTGAAGCCGGAAAAGTTGACTACGTAAAATACCATACTGCCGCGTGCCCCAAAGGGTTAATGTTCTTTGTGGTCGTACTCCATGTCGGTAAGTAATTATAACAATATAGCTGTTGTCATTTAACAACAATAAACTCTTAATAGTCACTCGTCGATTGGTCATACATGTATATAAACATATATACATGTACATATATGCTGTGCTAATTTTACTATTAAAAACCGTAGAATTTCCAATATGTACCCAGCTGTAACCCCCCCCCCCTCCTGTCTTTCTACTTTCTACCTTCCTTTTTTTATTATAAACATTATTTATTTATGTTCAACACTTTTATAAAATGGTTAAAATCTAAAATAATTTTTACAGATTTGATGATAATTTTTAATCGAGCATTATAATTAAAGTCTTATACAACAGCTATGCTTTTTTTTTTTTTAGATAGATATATATACAAACAATCCAAACTATATACAAACTATCGGATTAAAAAATCAAGGATTTTCATCATGATCCAGTGGCACCGTGGAATTACAACTAAACTAATATTCATGGTTGTATTGCAAGACTGGGTACATGCAATGGACAAAATCAAAATAGGTAAGATCTAAAGCAACACACCGTGTTTCATTTCAAAAAATGATTAGAAAAAACATTTTTTTTTAATTTTTATTGACAATCAAAACAAAATATCAACAAAAATAAACTAGTATAATGTGTGTGGTGCAAACATATTACATATTTTTAACATAAGTTGTAATAACAACTAACAAATGTTACTTATGTACAAAAGCAAATTTAAGACACGATTTTAAAGGGTTCTATAGTTCTATTGTAAAAAAATTCCTAAAATAATTATTTAAAAAAATACGTTGTATGTATTTGTATATATTTTTATTCTCTAAAAACGAAAAAGAATTTGCCTAAGCAATATTTGTACAATTAATGGATTCACTTAAAATAATAATTAATGCTAAAACAAAAACCGTTGACATTGAAAACGATCGTATAACATTGTTTTTTTTCTTTTATGAATGCCAATGTCGATGCGTTTTATTTTTGAAGCTGTTGTTTTTCGATGGGTTTTGGTTAGTTTTTAACAGCCGAGTTGAAATAAAAAATATATTTTCCTATACCCTTAGCTTTATTGCTTGAAATAAAAACTGTACATAAAATCAAGATTCAATAATGTCGTTAAACCGTATTCAAATAAAAATAATTTAAAAAAAAAAATGATTTTCTTAAATTTTAATTGAATAATTTTGAGGATGGCAAATATCTATTAACAATCTATTTTTTTTTTTACATACAAATGAATTTATAAAATAGGTATGTTGTGTATATTAAATCCCATTTTTATCGTTTAAAAAATTACACTTTCATGTCTAGTAAAAATAAGCGAAAATAAATTATGATTATAGTGAACTTATGTTTGGTTATTGGTACCAATTTAGGTTATTTATTTAATGATTCAGTACATATCCAAAGAGTTAGAAGTGAATAAATGAAATTATTTTTTAAACAAATCTCGACACATTTCATTAAACACACCACTAATAATATTACCATTAAGAAGACCACGTTGAGGTCTTAAGCCTTCAAATTTGTATTATATCGAAGTAATATATATATATATATATATATTATTATACAAAATCCGACCGATTGCATAATATCGTGTCAAATATCCATTAAAAAATACTACTCAGACGCCGGTAATGGACATTTCAATTTACTACAGGAAATCGACTATATATACTCTATGGGACTGGAAAATCGACCGGGAAATTACTACTTAAATGCTTCATATCCGATTTCTGGCGGCACTTTGAAATAGTAAATTTACACCGTTTTGCTTCTTTCGTTGCCTCTATATATGCTTCTTTTAACCAATTCTTATAAAAATGTAGAATATAAACCCATAAAATCCGCCGATGTCATATCAACACATTTTTCCGGACTTCCGTAAGTGCAGTCGACTGGTCTTAAGTGATTTCTAATCATTTAAAGACCTCTTAACAACTTTTTAATGCTTTTATAAAGTAATAAACTACGAACAACTCAATTGGTAATTGAGTTTAATAAAAATAAATGACACTTAGTGAAGAAATATATACTGGGTGGTTCTTTTAACGCGCTACACTAGTTTACTCTTAAAATAATTACAATTTTGTAGTGTTTCTTTTTGAAAACATTTTCATTTATGTTATAGTACATTATTAGACAATATTCAAATTTGTAAATATATATATATATATTATATGTAAATATATATACTACACGCGCATGGCAAAGCTTTTAATTTGTCTCAACATTTAATTTTCATTTCGTTTTTAGATTAAGGAAAACTATTCTTTTTTTTTATTTTGTAACTAAAAATAATTGAAGTAAATCTAATCAGGACAGCTAGTCAAAATATTTACAAGGCATAAAAAATAATACTATAATTTTTGTATTGTATTTATAAATATTATACGATATAAAATTACACTTCGAAATTTAACAAAAATCAACACTATTGTTTTTTTGATAAATATTTTAGTATAATAATTATAATTGGCATTTTCAAATCTGTATTTCCCCACCAAATTAGCTTAGAAAACTTTTTTGACAAGTTACGATTTTGGCCGACAGCCAACTTAAACAAACACGAGGTAATCGTGTTTATGGTGAGAATAAGGGTTGATGGCTTCAAATTATCTTACGCAAGAAACATTAAACAAGGTACAATCATGGTCAGACAGCTCGTGTTTTAAATTTTCAGCCTTGAAATCTAAAGCCATTATTTTTAAGCGTGCCAGGTAATATATCTAAAATCCCTCTCTCACACTAAACGAACTTAACATAAATCTGGAAACAAACATTCAAATACTATAGGCATGATACTAGATAACAAACTTTCTTGGAAACTACTTGAAAATTTTTTTTAAAAAAAGCTTCCCAAGAATACTGCACAGAAATTTATATTGGACTAATAAATACACCGTGTAAAAAAATCTCCTTCTCACCAACATGGCTCTATAACTTCAAATTCGATACACAATTGACACAACGCGACAAAATGTACACAAATAATAATATTATCACCAATGATCTCAACAAAATAATCAGAAACCTTGTATACCGATCACATTAACTAAAAGCCACTGAAATCTCCCCAAACGGTATCCAACCCTAAATCAACAAGCAAAACACATCATAATCAGTGATTCTATCAGTTCCGTCAATGTTATTAACAAACCATATACTGAAATTCCCCTTGTCCAATACATTCAAAGCGTCTAAGTACAAATAATAACATGAATATTTTGTGGATTCCATTAAATGTTCTATCTATCTCACTATTAAAATCCAACATGCTCTACTTAACGATAACATCGCAATAATCAATAAGGTATGTCTAGCCAAATGGCAGCAAAAACGTCACGAATAATAAATTAAAATTTACAAAAAAAAAAAAAAATGGTATACCAAACAAGAACAGTAAACACAAACAGAAGACTCGATACTAACCTCTGGAGACTAAATTTAGGCCATACAAAATGCACACATTCTTACATACTTAACAAACAAGAAGCACCTATATGCGAATACTGCAACAAAATAATCACTATCGAACACATAAGCCAAGTTACAGAAAAATTAATGCAGTCGAGCAACTGAAAAAAAACATATCAGTAAAATGGTAAGCCTTGGACAAGTACCTTGACAACATTAATTTGATCAACTTACTTAAAAAAAAAAATCTTTGTAATCAATCTTACAAACCAATATTATTATTTTTTAATTGCTCAATTGTATAATTGTATGGCTAATAGGCATAAGATGTTAAAAACGTTTATTTCTCAATAAAAAAAGTGGTTAATGTTAATTTCGTGCCCTTACTAATGCTTTAGTCAGAAAAATAAACTACCAAACACCGAGATACAATAGTTAGTTTTGTTATTTAACGAATATTAATGACAGGCCTCTATTATACTAGTATTATAAAAACATTGAAAATATTTAGTGAACTCGATATTAAAATTTAAATTATATTAGAAATTTGTAATGTTTTTGATTGGATTTTATTTGATGGATTTTAATGGTTTTTTTTATGGTCATTGACCAACCAGGAGCACTATTTACTTATGATCAGATCAACGGCAGTGCCGAGGTAGCGTTTAAATTTTCAGTAAACCAAATCAACCACGATGTTAACCTTCTACCTCACACTCAAGTATCGTACGACATCCAATATGTACCGAACGATAATAGTTTCTACGCTACTAAAAAAGGTTTAGCTCATTTAACTATTAAAAACCCGAACTTATTTTATCATGTGAAATTATTTAGCGTGCAACCAGTTGAATCTGGGGATCACCACATTGTTCGGACCTAGCAACGGTTACTTGGCGTCTCACGTCCATTCCATGTGTGATGCACTTGACCTACCGCACATGGAAGCCAGATTAGACTTGGACAATGAACCTAAACGGTTGTCAGTAAATTTATATCCAGCGCAAAATCTCCTGAACCAAGCGTACAATGATGTCATTTCGTTTTTGAACTGGACCAAGATGGCGATCATCTACGAACACGACTATGGTAACGATTATATTTTGCTCGATCGTGTCTAGATTAAATGTATATGTTGTTAAATTAAATTAATCGAAGACGAAGTGAGATCAGACGCCATCCGAAAAACCGTGACGAATACAATAGTATTTTTTAGCGTTAAAGAATTTAAATAGCTCGTGTTTAATGTCAAGTACCAAAATGGCGATACACATTAAATATCAGTAAAATGCAAACGTCCACTTGTTCGATATATACATATTTTGTATTTTATACCAATATACTTTTTATGTGTTGGATGTGGTCTAGATTTTTAGAAAATGTACTGAATTGCATAAGTACACGACTTGATTGTCAATTTGATTTTAGATTTATTTAGAATGAAAGACTTCATGAAAAGTGTGCCGAACAAAAAACCCGTAGACGTTTATCTGAGATACGCAACGCCCGAGACGTACAGGTCAGTTTTGAGTGAAATAAAAAATATGGAAATTTATAACATGTTGGTTGATACAAAATCGGAACACGTGAACCATTTTTTAAGAGGAGTAAGTCAAATTATTATTTTTTCGTTTATAAAATAAAACAAAATCCTATATTATAGATACGCATACTTTACGTTTTACAGATTTTGCAGCTCCAAATGAACGACTACAAATTTCATTATCTCTTTACGTCTTTTGTAAGTATACACAATAGTAATATTACAATGTCTTCATTATATTTTAACCGGCGTTGCCACGCGGGGTAGTGTTTCTTTTGTACACAGTCACCGGATAGACTCGCTGTTACGAGCAGTTGATACTTTATCATGTCAGGCGACTGATTAGAGTTAAAAACATGTACTTCCTTAACTTCTTAGGGTCGCCGTTAATAAGTGGCAACTAACTATAATTCCAACCTATCAAGTCAACACTTTGGTATGAGCCAGGCTGTAGTACAGACTTTAAAAAACAGACAATATATTTTCTTACGTTTTATAGTCGCTTTTCTGGACTTTATAACGTTACACCTATTACGAAATCCCCTCCCCCAAAATATATGCCCCAAATCAATATATGACCATTGTCCATGTATAGTATATGCTGATATTGTATTGCATTTCATGTCTAACTTAAATCAAACAAATGGCTAAAACGTTTAATTAGGAAAAAGAAAGGATAAAATATGTATGTTTATCATACTATTTTTTGTTAAATGTGATTAAACTAGGTTTAAAAAAAATATATTATTTATTTCTGTTAAAGATTTACATTTTTTCCCGCGTATAGTCATAACAGTTTACTTAGCAGGATAATAGAAGGGGCCATTGAGGGGAATAACAGTAGAGAGTGACCGCCACTGGACTACATTAGTCAAATAGTAAGAGATATGGACTGCAGATCTTATTGCGAATTAAAAAAGAAAGCGGAGATGCATCAGGAGTGGAGAATTGCTGCCAACCAGCCTTTAACAAAAAGGGCTGTTAACAAAAAAAAAATAGTTATTAAAATTACTATTTGCTACACCTTAAGTTTTTAAAAATGTACAATTATTTTCGCCTTAAGTCTACTATGCCTTTTTATAACTCATAAGCAACATTTTTTTAAATATTCAGCTTTTATTACTAGTATTACTGCTAAATATATCACATTTAAACATTTGTGTTATAATTGGAAATTTCAATTATAATTAACATTTTAATTCGCGTATCTCTGAGTGATACCATACTTCCTAAATGCACAATTGCAAATAAAATATTCTGTTTAAGATAAAAACTATTTTTAATAAATTATAATATGTATAAAACCGTGAAGCGAATCACAGTGTATATTATATATTTAAAAACAAGGTCCCTTAAAGATATTTTTTTTTTTTTTTACCTTGAGCTATACATGTACGCAACGATAATTTTTACATTTTCCTGAATTGAATAGGACATGGGAATGTTCGACTTAGAAGACTTCAAATACAACTTTGTCAACTTGACAGCGTTCAGGATGGTAGACGTAGACGACGTTGGGGTTCGAGAAATTTTGAAGCAAATGAAAACGTATGCCGTCGAAAACAATCATACTGTGGACAAATTCATGTTGACACAGGTCTGTTTTGTACATATTAATCTAACACTTGTGGTATATTGATTTTAAACGTGGTATTTCGAATGTTTAGTGTGAACCCGCACTCGTATATGATTCGGTTCAAGTAATGGCCGTCGGTTTAAGTGCTCTCCAACACAATAACAAACTGGAATACGCCAACATATCGTGCAAAGAGGAAATACCATGGAAAAGTGGCTCGAGCTTAATAAACTACATCAATTCGGTTTGCGCTCTTGATCATAATTATTTTCTATAAACAACCCAAAAACCTTATGCCTAGGTATAATGGTAGAAATTGGTAGCTGATTTATCGATCGTTTATTTAATGGCCGATAATTAATTTCTACACAATTTCGTTGGAACAAAAAAAAGTGTCCGCATTCGATAGTTGGCGTTGTATAATTTAAAAGCATCTCTTACAGGTTGAAGTCAAAGGGCTTACGGGACCTATACAGTTCAAGGAAGGTAGAAGAACCGATTTTAAGTTGGATTTGATGAAATTAAAACAGCACTCGTTGTCTAAAGTAGGCGAATGGACTCCTGGAATAGGTATCAATATAACCGACATGTCAGCGTTTCACGATACTGCACCTTACAACATCACACTCGTTGTTGTTACAATAGAAGTAAGCTTGTACTTGTGTACTTGTGTCGGATTTTAATCTTTAATTCATAAAATTATATTTAAACTACACATTGAACTGCAGTAACAACAGATAGGCAATGTCCTATAAGATATTGGGTTGACCCTCAATTTTTTACTTTCTCGATTTCGCAGTAGAGAGTTTGTCATCCGTTAATTAACTATAAAGTAAATAAATAGGTTTTTCAATTATTACAAGGATGTTTACTATCCGAAGCTATCATATTGTTATGTCAATTCATTACTATTTTCAATCTACACCGAGTGCTTATGATAAACTCCCAAATTAATTTTGACTTACAAACGTTAATAATTATTAATAATGATTTTATTGAAATACATATTTAACACGATTACATATTCTTTTAACTTAAGTCACGTCGCTCTAATAGAATAGTTTTTATTTTGTATAACATTTTTTAAACGTCAACCTTAAACAGTTAAATTGCAATACACAAAATTTAAATTACTTTTTTGTCAAGACCATAAATGTTTATCAAAGCTTTTATATTTTTCCTCCTATATTATTTAGGGTGTCCCATTTTGAAATACTAATCGATTTTTCTCCAAAAATACTAATTATATCAAAAAGTTGTTTATTAGAGTACAAAGGGGGACGTTAAAAAAAAATATGTCCCAAAATTCAAAAAGGCTGACTTACGGTCAAAAACATGTTTTTTTTAGTGGAAACCATGTAGTTTTTGTTAATCAACCAAATATTCTTATCAAAACTAACAACTTTTGTGGAAATTTTTTTTGGGTAAAACCCATAATTTGTAAATTAAGACTCTAGCTCTTTTTAGTTTTGTTATTTTATTTTGATGCATATGGTAACCGTGTCATGTGTGGTAACCTTACCATTACATTACCATTATCTTTATCGTTAACATTATCCTCTTTTCTGTGTATCACAAAGACAAAAACCATAGTTACCACACATACCAAGGTTACTATAAATATCAAAATAAAATAACAAAACTAAAAATAGCTAAAGAGACTTTATTTACAAATTATTGGTTTTTCCATTTAAATTATGGATTTTACCGAACATTTTTTCCTACAAAAGTTGTTAGTTTTTATAAGAACATTTGTTTGGTTAACAAAAAATACATGGTTTCCATTTAAAAAAAAAACATGTTTTTGACCGTAAGTCGGCCATTTTGAATTTTAGACCATATTTTTTTTAACGTCCCCTTTTGTACTTTAAAAGTCTCTAATAAGCAACTTTTTGATTGGATTAGTATTTTTGGAGAAAAATCGATTAGTATTTTAAAATGGGACACCCTGTATAGTAAATGGGACAGATTTTTTTTATCTACTTGAACATATAAAAAAAAGTGAATTTATCTGATTGTTGCTCTAAGGCTTTTAAACTTTTTAAAAATGTATTTTATTATGACTTGTATCAATGTTTTTTTTTTTAGCAATTCCCTTATGTTATGATGCATCGTACTAAAAACTATACGGGCAACGCGAGGTTCTACGGATTTTGTGTCGATCTACTGGAAATGATTGCCAAACAAGTGGGTTTCGACTATATATTGGACTTGGTGCCCGACAACAAGTACGGTGCCCAAGACCCTGTAACGCTGGAATGGAACGGTATTGTGGAACAGCTGATAAAACACGTACACACCTATAATACTATATTTGTCAACAATTATGTAAATATTAGGGTTGGTACAATGTCAATTGACAGGTTACAATTTGGTCAATCAAACATTTAATGGACAAAGAAAACAGATTTTGACCGAATTTGACAATTTTTACCAGACAAAATCTAGTCAATTGTTCATGAAAGATTTTGGCCGGTCAAAACCCCAACCCTAGTAAATATCGATTTGATCGCGATTAACAATATTGTTTTATCGTGTAGAAAGCGGATTTGGCAGTCGGATCTATGACCATTAACTATGCCAGGGAGAGCGTCATTGATTTCACAAAACCGTTTATGAACTTGGGAATCAGTATATTGTACAAGGTACTTGCGCATTTTTGGTTTTAACGACTCGATTTGTATGCAAAATATTCGGGTTAACTTCTAATTGCCTACGTAATTTACCCATCTCTGTTGTGAATTTTGAATTTCCAACTAAATTGAATTGGCCCATAGACGTTAAAGTAGGTAGGTACTACGATAAATAATTTCGGAAACTTTGACATACCAATCGAAATGAGACACATATGTACTATAGTGTAACGGTTATGTGGTAGAAGACACTAGACATTGTAAACTTTTTAAATGGCAAAAACAAAGTCGAAACGTTTTAAATACTCGCCGTTGCCAAATATACATCTCACGACCCAGATAATCGACCCATGTATCTTATCTTTATTACTATTTTTATTTTATATTTGTCTCGCGAATACCTTTCTCGTGAAAGCGTGCCAGTTTATTTTAAAGGCGTTCAATTTAAATTAAATTCGTAGCACGTTTTTCTGGTGCAAAAGCTAAAACGTTAATTTGGTGAAATTAATTTAATTTATGCAACCGCGAGCAAAGTAATTTATAAACAAATCCGAAAACGGTGATCACAATACTTGACCCTTAACACGAACAAGTATAATATTATTGCGCACTGTACATTTAAAACTGCCATATTATAATTCAATTGAGAGCCCATTAAACGTTATTTGTCTCATTTTTTCCAACTGTATCAGCTGTGAAAACGATACTCTTCGTGTCGTTCAACTTAAAACTAAATTATCGAACATTGTGCAGGTACCTAGCAATCAACCGGCACAGTTCTTCTCGTTCATGAACCCGTTAGCCATGGAAGTATGGATATACTGGCTGGTCGCCTATATTGTCGTTTCATTTACATTGTACATCGTAGCCAGATTTTCACCTTACGAATGGGACGATCCTAACTCTGGAGGCGTGTGGAACAACTCAAACTCGGATTTCAGTCCCTCGAATTCAAACAGATTTTCGCTTTCCAATAGTTTTTGGTTCACAATCGGCTCACTCATGCAACAAGGCTCCGACATTTACCCAAAGGTTGGTAATGGGTTGTATTTTATTTAGTATGTACTTTACAAATTAACCATTCGGCGCTAGGTGTGTCTAAAACGGTTATGGTGTAATTTGTCGATATTGTAATGACAATCAGTTGCGAATATTGCGCGTGGGAGGTATGTGTAATAAATAAACGACCTTTTCAGGCAATATCCACGAAAATTGTCGGATGTGTTTGGTGGTCGTTCACGTTAATCATCGTGTCTTCTTACACCGCAAACCTTGCCGCATTCTTGACCGTCGAACGGATGGTGAGTCCCATCGAAAATGCCGAAGACTTGGCAGCACAGACAAACATTGCGTACGGTACGTTGGACAGCGGTACCACCATGACGTTCTTCAGGGTAATAACTACTAATAGACGTTTCAATTAAATCTCTCTAGTGGTGGTTGTTGCGAATGTGTCACGAGTAGACTACTTTATGATAAGAGAGAAAACCCAAAGGATAGCTTGAGCGTTTTGTTAAGTAACGAGGAAAGAAAATTAACACGCGTCGAAGAATTCAAGGAAACATGATTAGAAATATACTGATAGAGTATTTTTGCAGATGTTGTTATAATGTACACGTGGACGTGCTTGGGGTGTGTAGAGAGATAGTAGAGAACGGCGAGAAATATGGAGAGACTAGATTAAAATGGTCGGTATTAACCGAGGTCGATTTAAATTGTAATCCTTTGTTATTAGAAAAAACAAATACCAACAAATTAATTTTCTCCACTACACGAGAAAACATAGAATCATGGATATGTTTTGGGCTTAGATGACGACATAATCAAATCATACTTCATTGGATTTCAAAAATATCCTCTCCTTCCACTTTCTTTATTATATCTACAATAGCCTATCCTCGACTCCATTTATCGTAATTTTTTTTTTATAGTGACCCGATAATGATCCTGTAATAACAAGATAATAACCTCAGATTCAATGGTCGAAAAAAGGCAAAAGTTTAGATTTACAGCCAGAAATCGAACCAGACTCGGCCATTGAATTACCTTATTTTTTATCCACGCAAACCTTTTGTTTGTATCCAGTCCAAAAACATATTTACGTTAAAAAAAATTAAAAATTTGATAGACAATGTTAAGCTAAACAAGTATGGATTGTGGAGTTGTTAAATATAGTTTTTCGCCACAACACCAATTGTCGATAAATTAAATCCTGTTTATTTATCGAGCAACGCGTTGCTTATTAAAGGATTCCATGATAGAAACGTATAAAAAAATGTGGGCGTACATGCGAAAGAAAAAACCATCTGTGTTCGTGACGTCTTACAATGAAGGTATCGAACGTGTTTTGCAAGGTAATTACGCTTTTCTAATGGAGTCCACCATGCTCGACTATGCCGTGCAAAGAAATTGTAATTTGACACAAATCAACGGACTGCTGGACTCGAAAGGTTACGGGATAGCCACGCCGATGGGTGAGTTTCAGTAAAAAAAAAAAAAATTACATTAAATATTGAAGAATAAAGACAAACACACGCGTATAATGTCATCAGGTTCGCCGTGGAAAGATCAGATATCGTTGACCATTTTAGATTTACAGGAAAAGGGCGAGATACAAATGTTGTACAACAAATGGTGGAAACCGCCAAACGATAATATGTGCGTGCCCGAAGAATCTAACGGTGGCTCGAAAACAAACACTCTTGATTTTAAAAATATTTGTGAGTGTTGAGAGTATCACTTCTTGACTTAGTCAACTTAAGCCTTATAATGTGTTCCAGGCGGTGTGTTTGTTGTGCTCTTGGTCGGTCTTTTTATTTCCATCTTCGTCGCATTCTACGAGTTCTATTACTACCGGAAAAAAATGAAATATACCGAACAGGTAGCTAACATTTCCAGTGCTTGGCTTTGAATACAGTTTCATAGGCTAACGATTTTATAAGTGTATGGTTAATTTTAATTTGGAAACGATTAATAGTCGAATATAACTTGTAAGGTACCTATTATTTGACAAATAGTGAGATGTCGGACTTATACCATTAACGGGGTCTTGTATACATCAACGTAGCAAAATTGCCTATACACAGCGCCGCGTAAAAAATATACTTATACCTTATAAAATTAAAACGATAAATCAAAATTTCACTCTAATTTTTACTTTTTAGAAAATTTGTTAGTTCAATAACAATTTTGTTATAGTGTATAGTTCAAAAAAACGTATACCTATATTTTCCAAACATGCCTACTAATGAATGATCGTAATACATCAATAGTGATAATAAGTAAAATAATGACATGACAATGTTTGATTTTATATTGTAACATATAGCTCAGCGTGTATTATGAGTATAATTTATAATATAGCCGCTAATTGTATATTAAACAACCAAACGTATGATACTATAACTAAGTAAACAAAACTTTTAGCTCGCAACAACTAGTAATAATATTGTTAATGACTGAAAACCGCTTATTAAAGAAAAAAAAACATTAACGCGTTCGTTTTTTTCTCCCATGCAACGTTTAGTTTTTAATTACACTCAAACGGTTTAAAACAACAGTATATTTGCGTTTCATTAAAGTGTTGTTTTGGTTTTGTAATAATTATTGTACTAAATTATAGACTAATTATTTTACGTAGTCAAAACCAAATATGTGCAGGACTTACACGATTTATTGATACATTTTGCAGAGAATTGGCCCGCACAGATCCATGTGGAGAGATTTGTTAGACGAACTGTGGTTCGTTTTAAAATGCAAAGGATCAAGACAGAGAACCGTTCTAACCCATAGATGCGAACAATGTCATCCTACAGTAAGTCATACCAATAGTATAGGAGTATATTATTTTCAGAAACAAATCATAACCAATAGTTTTTTCATCGTATGCAAATCTCGCGTTCAGACCATAGAACGTCGATCCCGAAGAGACTTTATGGAAGCCAATATACTATAGAACGGTCGTAGCAGCCGTTGTTTTCTTGTGTGGACGTTAAACGATGTGAAGACATACGATAAACGGAGACCGAACCTCAATGAGTTCCTTCTTGCTACTTTCAAGTACATCTTAGAGTCAACGCTATTTCAAACCAGCAACATCTATGTATCTACTGTATAATGATTCAACTGTTGATCGTGTTATTTTTCTTTAAATTAATAATATTAATTCTGTAATTTATTGTTTCCACGAATAGTGTAGTTTTTCATTAAAAAATAATAACAATAATTCGATTTTAATAACAATAATAATAACATTAGATTAACACAAAAAAAAAAAATGTTTTTTTCAAAATGCTCGAAGCATCGAGTGCTATATATTATATATATTATTGTACTCTGATCATTATCGTGCTACTGCAATAATAGGTAAACATTTCTACAACTAAATTTATTTTATTTGTTCCAACAGTGACTTAATATTTACTTCTTACTCGATTAGCATTCGCCTCACATTTTTTTTTTTGCACAGCTAAATAAGTATTGATTTTAAAACTTCTTAGCTGCCGTAAATGTAATTTTAATAAAATTATTACACAAAAACTATTATTATATATATTTGAATCGCTCTTTGTTAAAAGGGCACATGTTTCAACGGGGTAACTTTTGGGAAATGATAAAAAACTGCATAACTTTCAAAATGTGGTAACTTTGTAAATAATTTTTTTTATGTGCATTATGACGTGCATGGTACTCGACATTTATACCAAATTTCGATACTTTAAACATATTTAATTCAAGTTTATACAAGTTGAAAGTTGCAAGAAAATTTAACAAAAAATGTAAAACATATGCCCTTTTAATAAAAAGCGATTCATTTGTGGTTGTCAATGATTATCAATTATTAATTTTATCGTTTAGTTCAATTCATTTTTTCATACATTTCCCAGTGTAATACCTACGTACCAAAATTAAACGTTTAAAATAGTGCAAACTATTTGTTTGCTACGAGTTAGAGTGACACTATAAGGATATGTATTAAATTAAATTTTTAGATTTCTAAAGGCTGAATAATATTGATAGATTTTTTTTTTTTTTTGAGGAGGGGGAGGGCTTGCTATACATACATGGCATATGACCGTGGCAGATAATGGAACATCTTGTACAACGCTGACCGACTAACTAGCAAACGTATTAGTTATTCGATTAAGATAATCATTGAAACCGTTCTGGGTAATATAAATTCAACAACTTCTCAACTATGCCGTTATGTATTGAGATTCGCCGATAAGTCAGACGAGAACGGGATTTTCGAACTCGCCTAACATCCGTATAATGACCGTACTATAAAGAACCAACCACTCGATGTTATCGCCACAAACTATAGTGATGCTATACAGTAACCATAGTTACGAATGCGTTGTTCTTGTCTTCGGTCCAATTCGATAAAATTAAAAAACTTTCCATTTCGATGCAATAGCAATCATAAAAGTATATTAAATATCTTTATACTTCGATGGTCTACAAAATACAGTCAAAATTTGTTAAAAAACACGTCATATATAAATATCTACTTTGTAAACATAATAAATTATGTACCATCGAGCATACGCCGTTACATAATATTATTATTCAATTAAATTCCATAGAGTTATCGTTTTATTATATAATATGTAATATGTCAGACCATACCCTAAAACAAATTGCATGACTTAATTTGTTTTGTAATTTACATTTAAAAAAACGTTCTTGAAATAATGGATTTGTGGGTTGAGATATGACCTATGGGTCTTCAGTACCTTTTAAAACAAGTACATTTTAATTGGGACCCGAATACTATTTGTAAACGTTTGTGATAGGCAATCTTAAAAAACGGGCGCCGGTCGGGTGCACAATTCAAATTTGTGTGCAATAAATAAGAATAGAATGTTTTAAAAATTCATAATATGCAAAAAAATATTACCATTTTTGAAATTCATATGTTTATGAGTGTAATTCAAGTTTGAAGCTTGCTCAGCTATTTTTGGATGAATAAGAACATACGGATGGATAAATTCCTGCCTTATTTGGCTATTAATAACCTTGAGATGGTATATATGATATTAACTGTGTAAATTAACTATGAAATTAAGCTTGAACATTGAGTACAGTTTAACAACATCAAAATTGTTGGTTAAACTATACTCAAATGTAAAAAGCCAAACCGGCGAGAACGGTCATTAGCTGTTGTGTTAACGGTTGCAAATGTATATCCAGTATTAAAATTTCACCGGATCTGCCAAAGTGGAACAACCAACGTCCAACGCAGCTGTTAATATTTTCTTTGTGCAACTCACTTTTTTTTTATAGGTGCACAAAAAAAAAATAAACTTATACACCTTTAAATTTTAATTAAAAAAGAGTACAAACAAAAACAATTTTGTCGCTGTCACGGCGGCACGTTCTCGTTTTAATTTTTCGCTCACCGTTGGTCTTCGCGGTCTTCACACCTTCTGCTTACAGTGGCCAAACTATAGCGGGTAAGTTGGCAAAATGAGACTTTAATCCCACAAAAATCATATGGTACATAAATGGCCAAAAGTAATGATTAGCAAAAATTTGTACAAAAATGCAATATTTAAAAGTATAAAAAAAAGTTTACCCCTTTCCCTACAAAATTTAGCTAGTTTTTTTTTAAGTGGTATCACTATGTATGATGATGTTTGTGTAGTGCATAAAACGCATGGTGGAGGTTTGTTTGCTTTAGTAGAAAAATGAACTTAGGTATAATATCTTTCATGACTTTCAAGGCAAACAGCATATGAATTGTCTGTGGGGTAAGCTTTTCGGACCGCATACGTACCAGAGGTACTCGCTGGTCTTGTAAAGCACATCTCGCACATTCATCATACACGTTTCTACAAACAGTCAAGACATAGACACCTAAGTCCACTATTATACATAACAAATATATGGAAGTAGTGTATGTGAAAGAATTGGTGAACAAGTTTAACTCTGTGTGTTGATAACAAAAAAATATTGTGCGAAATTATGCAAACCGAGTAATAAAGTATTTGGTGCAAGATTTTTAGGGTTATAGTAGTATAGGAAGTATGATGAGGTATTTTCAAAAAAAGAAAGAACAATTTAAGAAACGTTAGTCAAATAAAGGGCTGGAAAGTCATTAGTGATGTTTAAGTAAACAACAAAGAAGTATGAAGACTTATAGAAATTTTTAAAAATAAAATAATGGAACACATAGAGGAAATCAATTGAAGAAAAAACCAGAAACTTGATGAAAATAAGACTTATAAAATAGAACATTGACATCAAAAAAAGAGATATAAAAGATGAAAACACAAATGAGACAATACAAACTATATTTTAGCGAGTTTTATAATGTTGAATTTTTGAACAACGTAGTTGAGGAAACTGAGTAAAATATTGGAATAATAAATACAATTGAAAAGTGCAATGCAATTTATAAATTTTATGGATCCCGGTATAATTTGGTTTAACACTCAGACTGCATTTAGCCATTTAGGTATTAATTAATTTGTTGTTCACGGAAACGGCTTTTGACTAGTCTGGAGGTAAGCTTTTCGGACCAGATACAGTCCTATTAAGCACGTCTCACAGGTTCATCGTACACGCTTCTATGAATATTTAAAAATATACATTGGGGAAAAAATTAAAAAGCCCATATTTGATTCCAGCATAGTCCGGTCTATAACATCGAAAGCCAGCCGAACTTGAGCGTCAGTCGTTCAAGACATCCGGCTCCTGTGCAAGAGTCAGTTTTTCAGTCTAAAAATTAGTAAACTAAAAATCACAGAAAATAATTTAGTACAAAAAAATCACAAAACATTTTAAATAAATGTTTACCTTGGTAAATAGACCAAATTTTAGATAAATACACCATAATATTTTTGTCAATTGTATATATCTTAATAGAAAATTGAATCCGTTTAAAATCAGATTTAGCCATATATTTTTTAATACCTTTTGAAATATGAAGTAAAATTAAAATCTGGACTGGTGTAATTCGAGTCCCGTTACTAAATTATAATAATATTTCCAAGTTGCCTTTCCATCTTGTTTCTTCTGAAGACTATGGCTTGTAATTTGTCATTTGATGATTTCATACCTCCGTAGCTTTCTTTCCAACCTTCTGGTTATTATAGTAATTATTGTTACAACCACTGAGATTGATCATTACTCTAATTATTGTACTTATCATTCTTCATCATCCGCCGATCCGTTAAAGTACTCTCAGTCCTCAACTAAAATTATAATTATCGGCAAATTATTTATTATTACCTGTTTGTTGTAGTGCTATTGCGCTACGTTACTATTTTAGTCTAGCTTGCTATTCCAATTTCCCTATCCAAACTTTTTTTAGATATTTTAATAATAGACAGTAAGCTGAAAGTGATGATGATAAGTGATAACATTCACTGTTTTAATATCGTATACATTTAAATTTCCACAATGGTCAAAGAAAAACAGATTCTGTGTAGCAGGTATATTCAGGTAAGAATAATATTTATAAACGTTGCTGTGGCAGCTGTAATATTTGATTAAAAAAAAAACTAGCTACCAAAAAAGAATCCTTATTTTTGTACTACCCTAACTAAAATATATCCTTTGTTTTAGTTTAAAAACTAAGATTTTGCGAAAAATCGTCTGTCGAGGAAACGATTAAAAAGATATGTTATAATTGTGTTTATTTGTAGAAAAAAATTAGTTAATTAAATTAAATAAAACTAGGTAACATCGTCGCATTGTCTTCTATGACGTTCCAGCGCCGGTAATAGAGACAATCCTAATAAATATTAAATAACAATAGTAATAATGTTTTAAAAATGTCAATTGTAATAACAATAATAATGTACCGCTACATATACGCCGCACAGATGTTTAGGTAATAACTTCTTTTAGTCTCTTCTATTCTTTCTGGTCTAGTTTCTGGTTTCAATTAAGTAATTTAAAAAAAAAACGTTCAACAATTTTCCAATCGCGTCTTTACACGATAAAAACTAACAACTTTTCAAAACTAAAACAAAATGTTGATTTGTCACCGATTGTGTTACTAAAATATCACATAATAATTTACTTAGCAACCGTCAAAATTGTATTTCAGCTAAAAAAAACAATTTATTTATTATCTTTGAAATAGCACGTAAAAACGTGTTTTATATCAAAATAATTAATATTTATTGAACGGTTGTAAAATGAACGATTATGAAAATGTGTATTGTGTGTAAGGTAAACAAAAAACACATTTGTATAGATGGTCGGATTATACATATTCATTAGGGTGGTTCTTGTATTTTGGGTGAAATATGAAATTTGATTTTGACAATCTCGCATTCCATCCTAATTGTTTGAATTTTGTCTGTGTAAAAAAAGTTTGAAATCGAAAGAATGGGATACTATAAAATCGATTTTATAATCTCATTGTCTGGTATTCTAAAACCGATTGTAATAAAAATGTAAAATTATTATCATCGATTTAACTCAACTACGAGATTGATATTTTAAATTTACAAAAATTGCGTTATTTTTTTTACCGAAATTTCAGCTAGATATACTGAGTTTCCAATTAATTAGCATTTCAGTTTAAGTAGTATAAAAATTAAGTGAATAATTCCAAAAACCATTTTTTTAATTTCTTATTTTTATGGATTAATATAAAATAATACAAAAAGAATAAAATTTTAAAAAGTTCGGTCTTAAAAAATTATTACAGGCCTAGCAAAGAAAATCAGTATAGATAAATTAGGAATTTCGTTAGGACTACTCCAAATCAAATTGGTATATTAATCGAATAATTTTTTTTAGTACCCAATTAATAAATTCCTATAAAACCTCAAATAAAAAACAAACAATTAAAAGTTCTATTAATGATTTTGATATTTATAAAAATTACATTTATTTCTAATCGTAACATTATCAATAGTGTTTAGAGCTACTATACTTATATATTTTTTTTTCTATTAAATAATAAATTATTGGTTTTTATAATAAAAATAATGTTATATAATATTTATTTATTTTTATTTTTCACATTAATATTATTACAATAAACATAAAAAATGAGACAATGGTGTCAAAAGTCATCGGAGAACAATATAATACCGCAAGAATAGTAAAACATAATAGATTATAATATTATAATAATAATTTAGTAGTTATAATGTGCATTAAGGGACTTGTATAAAATAGCTACTTCTATATACTACTATTTTACTACATATAAAGACTAGATCAGTATTCTATTATGATTTGTTTTTTTTCATATATGTATATATATATTATAATATAATAAATGTATTTATTATAACTATATAAATAAAAGAACATAGACAAGTTATTATTATTTAAATATTGTACATTGTTGCGATTTAATATCATGCGCTGCAACGCTATACAATTCAATAAACTTATACCAGTGGACAAAATAATATCAGTCTTTACATTATATATATTTTTGTTTAATTTAAATAACATTCTACTTTCGTTTTTGCTGTGGTTAAGTAATGAATACGATAATATGTTACGGTCGTTAATGTTCAAAAAAATTCTAAATTGTATCGACACACACTTTATGTTGCTAATGGAAAAAAAGTGAGAAAAAATACCATAAAACAATAATTAATTATATAAAAACAACTTTTTTTATGAAAAAAAAAAAAATTATACATTAGAGAAACACAGGAGTTTTAAATTGCTTGTTAAAATATTTATTTTGGTTCACTCAAGGGTATAATGTTTGATAAATACACATAATAACAAAATATTGAGCAAAACAATAGGGGCAGTAGTATTTACTGTTAAGAGTAGGTATTTAATTTAAAAAAAAAAAAAAGTAAAAAACACACACACATGTAAATAAGTAGAATGGAACCGTATTAAAAATAAAATGTACGTATCATACACAATAATTGCACAAATTAATGTTTGTCAAAACGACATTAAGTAGACGTTGTATAACAATATTTTGGTACCGTTTTGAGAATTCAAGAAAGATATTATTGGAGAACATTTTTTTTTTTTTTAACAATATAATAAGCTGTTCTTGTTGAATATTGGCTTTGAAAATATATTATGATTTAAATGTAGGACGACAAATCTTGTGCATCATTGTTCGCCTACTAGATAAAATTATTAACTTAAAAATTAATTTTACTATAAAGTGGACGTCAATAAAACATATACTTAAAGCCAGAGAATGTATGTGCATTTTAAAAATCTAAATACCTTCTCGATAAACCCTATTTTCTATTGTACACACAAGTATAATCATTTATGTAATTAATGAATTGTCAAATTTCCTAATTCTTTTTTTCATAACATTTTTAGTCTAAAAACAAATTGCCAATCGATATTACCAACATCTCGCTTATATGCACAATATATAAATAATATATGTATAATAATAATAATAATAATAATTTAAAAAGATTTCTCTGTACAGTCAAAATTATAGTAATAAATATAGATATAATATATGTGTATTATATAAATCTTAAAAGGAATGTGACACACAATGTACCCGTTGTTGTTGATGTTCAGTTTTATCTTTGAATTATATTCAAAATATCTTTTAAAGTGTTATCTAGTGTCTGGAATATGGTGGAGGGATCAGTTTGTTGTCGTCCTCCGCCGGCAGACCGCATTTGTCTAGACTGAGATTCTAGTTTGTTGAGTAGTTCCCGAAGATGAAACCTGAGATTTGGTGGTGCTGCTGAATCGGCATAATTCAGACAAGACGAATGAAAACCACCAACCTTGTCGGAGAGTGCTAACCAGCCAGCCGAAGTGACTGTTGGCGCTGTACGTAAAGTTTTCAAACTGTTCTCTACAGCTTGCCACTGATCTACTAAATTGGATGGCGCACCAGGCGTAGCATATATCGCATTCGATTTGGTTGGCTTGGCCGGTTTAAGTGGCACAATAGGCTTATCTTCGTGAGGTGGCCAGATACGCCTTTCTTTATTTGTTTCTGGAGGACTCTCGCCTTCCCACAATTTTTTCAAGCTACTAATACTGCCCGTGCTTCGTCTTTTATCATCGCCTTCCTCTGGATAATTATTGTCACACTCAACAGTCTCGTTTTCTTTTTTTCCTTCAATTTTCACTTTTTTTAACTGCGATTTGATTTCTGCTATGTTGTTGTCGATTCGGTCATCTTTACGTTCAATGTTGATTTTCCTGAGGTTAGTTTTGAAATCAACAGGTGACCCGGGCTTTTCGTCTTTGCTTTTTTTATCACCAGCGTATTTCAGTTCCATCATTTCTTTCATTATATCCGGTACGAGACTTTTTACATCTCTTGAGTCTTCATCCGAACTCGGAGTCAGATCGATATTTTTCTTTGGTAATATAGGGGACGGTTCTACCGAAGTTTCTTTTTCAGTCAATGGTCTGTTGTCTTTACGGACAGCAGTTTTCAGTCTAGCGGGTTCTGATTTAGCACTGTTACAAGAATCAGTGGATGGTTCTCTATGCCTAAGACTTACCCCGAATCTAAACGTAGATTGTTCTTCTTGATCTAAATCTTCAGGTGGAGGCGGGGGAGGGAACTCTAAATCTGCTAAATTCGGAGGCGGAGGCTGAGCACGGAGAGTCCGCGGAGAAGAAGGTTGGAAGTTAGTCGATGAATTACTTCTAGTCATGTTACCTGGCTGTTGAAATGGTCGACGCAGAGGAGCATTGACACGTTGATTCGGAAGAGGTTTTGTATTTACTTCAATGTTTTCGCCATTGCCGTGCCTTAAAGACTCTAAGTAAGCTCCGATCCGCGCTCCTTTTGGTAAAGTACCATACCGATTGATAGCACGTTTAACATTTTGTACCTCTAAAGCAGCCACTTTAGGAGTGTCTGAATTTCCTGTGTCTCTTTGGTATAACGGATGAGCAGCTTGATGTTTGGATGTCTTTTTGGTCAAGGATCCGCGATGAACGCGATTTAACGGCGGTATGTGAGAACATTCATTTTCAACTTCAGTGGGCTCAGCACTTTCTTCGCTAGCTCCATCGCTATCAACCAGGCCACCGACTACATTATGAAGATCTTTATTTATTCCTACAACAAAATAAAAATTTAAGAAATTCTAACAAACTATGCTGAATATTAATTAATTTTTACAAACCGTTTGGGGCGATATTATCCTCAGAAAAAGGTTGAGGAGGAAGTGACATAGCCGCTTCATTTTGATCTGCCAACACCGGACCACCATAGTGAGAATCTCTAAATGAACTACACGATGATAGTAAACTAAAAACAAATTATAAGTATTATATAATAACAATAGTCCGCTTAATTTTTAAAAAAACTAGTTAGGGAAGTTGTATAAAATTGAATTTATATATTTTAACAATATAGCATTAAGTAAAAATAAACTTTGCTTTAACTCCGTTACAATATATTAGTTTTTGGCAGTTTGAGTTTTGATTTGTTTAAGAAAGTTTTTGTTTTGCTGCCTTATTAATTTCTGTACACATTTAATTTCGCCCATCTCTGTATGAGAGTTGTGTTAAAAACTCGTACATATTTTTATATGCGGTTTGCATAGAACATGTTTTTTTGTTTAATTTTTATCAATAAAAATATACTTTTTTCTTATACAACTTTCTTAAAATGGCTATTTATTATTAGTACCTAGTACGCTTGGGAGGAGCTGGGGCTGTTTTGCCACGTTTATTGGTTGGCCGCCGTAACTGCACAAGACTACCTTTGACTAGCGGCGCCCCAAATGTCGATAAATTACGCTCAACTTGTGAAATTGTTTCTAAAAATATGTATTATTATTTAAAGGCATACTTATATTTTATTTAAAAATACAACTAAAATTACCATTTGATTCCGAAGATACTCCCAAAGTATTGGAACTGATTCCATGAGACCTTTTATGAGACAACTGAGGCGTTAAACTTCCTTGCAACTGTTTTTCTACTTCTAAAAACACCAATAACCGATTTAATAAATATGTATTTTTAATAACCTTTGTCTTTAATGTTTAAATCAAATTTACCCTCAATTATATTTGATTCTTGAAACATATTTTCTAAAGCGTGATGAATTTCTTTAAACGATGGTCTCTCGTTTGGAGACCATTGCCAACATTGTTTCATCAAGTGATAAATATTTGGCGGACAACCAGGTGGACAATCCATTCTAAAATATTATAATATTAATTTAATTAATTAATTAAATAAAATAGTTAATAAAGTTAGTACATTTCATTTAAATTTGTATTGTTATAAAATATACCTGTATCCTTTTTCTAGCATATGATAAACATCGGTTAAATCAACACCTGGGTACGGTGACATCCCATAAGTAGCTATTTCCCATAATAAGACACCAAATGCCCATACGTCTGACTGTGAGCAGAAAATAATATTGTTAGAAAAGTTATAAAGATAAACTAGTTTTTAAAAAAGCTATCAAATTAAATACAACAATAAATGGTGTATGTAGTAAATAAGATTGAGAAAAACATACTTTAGTTGAAAATTTATTATAAGCTAAGCCTTCTGGAGCTGTCCATTTAATTGGAAATTTAGCACCCGCATGTGCTGTATAAGTATCATCCCTCATTAACCGTGCTAAACCGAAATCTGCAACTTTGACAAGATGATTTTCTCCAACAAGACAATTTCGTGCGGCTAAATCTCTGCAAAAAAATTTAATATTATATTTAGTGTCTGAAATAAAAAAGAACAATAGAAATTGTTTTTATCCAATTACCTATGGATAAACATTCTGCTTTCCAAGTAACTCATTGCACTGGCTATCTGTGTGGCCATATACATTAGAACAACTGCATTTATGTTTTCGCGGCTATCCGATCTCAAGTAGTCCAACAGATTACCTTTGCTCATAAACTCGGTGATTATGTAAAATGGAGGTTCTCTCGTACAAACACCTAAATAGTACATTTTAAATTATGAATATATTAATTTTTATACCTAAAAAAAAATACAATAGTTAATAATACCTAAAAGTTGAACTAAATTTGGATGTTTCATCTCTTTCATGATGGAAGCTTCTTCTAAAAAATCCTTAAGGGCCATTGTGTCCTCCTGTAAAATTATTGAAAAATATAAAAAAATAAATAAATACAAATTTTAATCTTAACATTATATTTTAAATAATAAAAACTAATAATATATCAGGTATAATTTTTTTTTTATTAACCTTTTTACTACTTTTAAGAATACAAATTTAAGGTATTATAATTTTATGCCCACAACAAGAACAGCTGTACTCCATTTTTGTGCGATTTTAAGTTACTACCATCTGTCATGGCATTATAATACAGGATTATTTATTTTTTCCTCTACCTTCTTATGAAAACTTTAGTATCTTAAGCACTCCAACAACGAAAACAAATTACCGACAATAAAGAGTATGTTAAGTAAAAATAAACTATGCCAACAAAAAAATGTAACGACCATATTTGTACCCATGAACAAAGGGCTATATAAAAACTAAAACTTTTAATTCCAGTAAAAAGTTTTTTACTGTGTTACGATGTTTATAAACTAGAAATAATTATTTGTCTTGAAAAATTAAAACTTTATAATTAAGTGTCTGGTAATGGTGTTTACACACATATATAAAAAAACTGAGTAAAAATATAAATTTGATTAGGCATTCATTTTATTCACCTTAAAAAATTCAAGAAAGTGAGATACAACTTTTTTTGTTAGGAGTGTCGATGATACTATTTGAATTTTTTAAACATGCTATTAAATATTAAAAATATATAAGTTATCAATAATTAATGTAAAATTATAAAAAGACATAATATTGTTTTAAAAATTATGTACAAAAGACTTGTATACATTTTTTTTAAATATTTAATTCTATAATTCAAGCTTGGGCAATCCGTTTTATTTAAATAACAAACTATCTAGAAAAAACTTAGCAACTTATGGTATTATATAATAAAGAAATTAAAATTTAAAACCCTTAACCATACAAATAATACACATTCTATGTATACGTATTTCCACAACAACGTTGTCATCATCAGCGCTAAGGGCAAACTGAGACCGATTACAGGTAAATACTTCCTTATATATATACACAGCACAGTCATACCAAGTATGATGTCATGCTGGAAATGATGACTCATGGTCAACACATTTTATCAATATTAATAAAATGTTTTTTAATGGACTCAAGTCCAAGTTTAACAAATTGTTTCTATTTTTTAACATTTCTATTGCCTCCCTAATGATAAGTTATTTTGAGTTATTTACATTTTTTAGTAATTTTACAGATTTGATGCTATGATTAGTATCTAATAAATGTTCCGCAACAGGAGATTTTTGTACTTCTTGGTTTTTAATATTCCATATGTGTTCTTTAAACCTAACCGCAATATTTCGTTTTGACTAATCTACGTAGCATTTATCACATTCTTTACGTTGTATTTTATAAATCCAGGATTTTTTATCTTTGGTACTACCTAATAGAGATTTTAAGTTATTACTTGTTTATGCAGTTAGAGTTATACCATAATTTTGAAAAATTTTGTTAACCCCCTTGAAATACCTGGAAAATAAACCATACCCGATCTTATAATTTATTCATTGTCCCTCCTACTAAGCGTTCTGGCTGTTTTAAATTCCCTTGACCACTTATGCTTATTAACTAATATAAAAATCAAATTTGCATCATACCCATTAAATTGAGTTATTTCAGTTATTAAAATAGTGTTTTAAATCATTTTTAATTTATTCAAATACAATTTTATTAAACAATTTTTTTGGATTTATGGTCAAATAAAAATAAAAAAATAGTATTCATTATTTGAGTTTTTTTTTAAAAACATTTTATTTTTTATAACTGAAGGTTTAGTCCGTACCCCCCATACTATACATATTACAGTATCAAAGAAAAACAAAATATTTATCAATGAGTTTGATAGTGTTCCATGCTTAAATTTACGATAAGAAAATTATGGGAAACGTTACGATTCTTAAAATAGGTTTCAATTGGTTAATAGCATCATATTCCACAAAAAAAAAAGGAAAATTGAAAAAATAGTCAATTTGTAATTTGGACCTAATATACAATTGTTTTTTTTTTTATGATAATAAAATGGTTAGTATTTGAGTTAATAATTTGAATTATCGATGATTTACAATTAGGTTGTACACTTCTAGTCATTTTTAATGAATGTCCTGAATAATACTAATACAATTTTAAATTATCAAAAAAAAATTAAACACTTGAAATAACCAGTAACTGATGTATCGAAGAGATAAATGGTTTAAATTTATCTGATCCCTTCTAGATTTAAGCTACAATTTACAGCGTGATTTATAAAAATCTCCAATTTAGTTAACTAGTTACTAACTATTAACAAGTAGCCACATAATAGTGTCACTTATAATAATTATACCCAGCTAAACATAATGACATAAACATATAAGTGATAATTTTGTAGACATAAAATAACAATTTAGATTACGAATAAAAATTAAATTTAATCTAACCTTTAATGTTTTTACCGCAACAGTCATATTATAACGTTTCCAAACAGCTTCATAAACATCACCGTATTGGCCGCCACCTAATTTATGTCTCATGACTATATCTGTTCGATTGATTTCCCATTCATCCGGTTCTGGACTAAGTGCAAACACAGTCGGCTTATTGTGTTTGGGCGCTGGGTATAAAAGTTGAGTTATGAGACCATCTGAGTGTATTGAATGATGGTGAACTAATTCAGCAAGGGTATTAAAACGGCTTTCAGTAGTTACATAAACCTATATATTATAAATAAAATTATTAAATACAATGTGTTTTCATTATTAAAATTTAAATGTTAACCTTTCCATCAGAAGTGTCTTCATTTATGCGATAATGGTAAACTCGCCCTTCGTATCGCAATGAGATAGATCGCTGGCCTGGGGAACTTTCACTTTCTCGTACTAAAAAACTACCATTAATACCTGAACTCAACAAGTATTCAGCGGCGTTTCGTGAAATTGGCCCGTGATACCACGAATGTTTTTCCAAGGAGTTGACAGGAGTAACATAATTGGATGGTACCCAGCCAACATGACCAGGTGAAGCGTGCGCTTCACACCATTCTCCACTTTTGTTGTAAGATAAAATTCGAACTTGTTCACCTAAAATACATAAACGTTTTATTTGTAACCTTCTTTTACAATAAATAGCAAAACATAGTAAATTATATTACGAAGTAAATAAAATATACAGAATTAAGTCTAAAATACAAACAATCACCAACAACTTTCGACTTATCCAAATTAAATTAGACACATAAATTTAAAAAACCTTTAATCACCTTTTTTTAAGCTAAGTTGATTATCACCACCTGCTTGAAAATCATATAAAGCCACAAACAATTGTGGATCGTCATCTTCTTGTGATTGTAGTAAGTTTTCTTTAGACGTCCATCTGATTGAGGACTCTAAGTTACTGGATGTTGCTCCACCGCCTGAGCCCCCGGAGCTTCCCCCGCCAGAAGGAATAGACCCTGGGGGATCACCGTCGGGTAGGTCAGGTATATGAGGTAGAGGTCGACTTTGCAACAGTGCTTCTACAAAAACAAACAAATAATGTACTAATATTAAAATTTTTCTTTATTCCTAAAATATTATAATAATATTAGTCCACACAACTAAAATATCAGTACCATTACCATTCTTTACTTTTTCTTAACCCTGTCCCTGCAAAATAGATACCTACTGTTTTTTCTATTATTGGGGGCATCTCCTAAGCTACCTCTTATAAAATAATCAATAACTTGTCATAACTAGTTACTTTATTTATCAATGATCAGAGTAATTTAAATAAATTGTTTTTTTATAAAGTGCTGCTTGTGGTTGTTTAACGAGATAGTAAAATAAAAATAACCATTCTCTGTCGCCAATAGTACATAATATTGTACATGTGTCGATTAATGACAGTAAAAATATATATTTAAAGCAAACAATGGTATCTTAGCCACCTCATCAGCAGTACTATGCTGCATCAATTGTCAACAATTCCAAATTTCTCTTGAGCCTTTAAATTTTAACTGGTATTCCGTTTGACCCACATAACATTTGATTTTCCAAGATAAATATAAAATAAAACATATGATGTCATTAAAAGTAATTTTCAAAATCCATAATTTACACATTTACAAAACTAAATATTTACTTTTTCTCAATCACATCTATACAATTTATAACAGGAGATTTTAATATCTCTGAATTTGAAAAATATTTTATAATGAGAAATTATATCAATATATTTATTACTTTGTGTCATAAAATAGTTTTCGGTGTATACTGGAAAACTGGGATTCAGCATATAAACAATTTTTCCCAGTAAGCTATTTTTTTTAATATTAATTACAAACTCATTTTCTGATTTTATAAATAATAATATGATTAAATAAAGTGATGAGAATCAAAAGGGTACAATTGAAATTTTTCACAAACCTATACGGATCTTGTAGTATTAGTCAATTTAAATTTTTACTATCAGTATTTGTTTGAAATTTGTCATTAATTATTGTAAGTAATATTGAAAGAAAATTAGAACTCATTGAAAATATCTTCAATTGCCTGTAAAATATGTAAAAATCACTTATGTCCTATTGGTTTTTACGACTTAGATTCAAGTCGACTAAATTTAAATGTAAATTATTAATATTGATAAACCATAAAAATCAAAATAATATAATAAAATAATTTCATTCATCGTGTAGCTTAACATGCCTTGAAGACCCATCACTTCCATCATGACATGGTTTCTAGACGAATTCGCTATCTAGGATGGGTCGTCAGAATAAAATTAATTAATAGTAAATAATAACATTAAAATTTAATATTGGCACAGTAATTTATTAATTTAGATTATGGCTAATAAGATAGTAATTATTTTTATGTGAAAGATAATTTGGTATTTAATTCGTTATTAAAAACAAGTAATAAATAATCGAGGGTATTAGGCAAATGTGAATTGTGAATTGGTTTTTTGTATGATTTGAAATATTTTTTTAGAAAATGACTGAATCAACAAAAAAATATTTACTAGGTTGCAAAAAACTATTAAATAAAAACAACTTTTTATAAAAAATAAATGTTTAATTGTTTCAATATATTAGATATTCTTAAGTATCACCATTATATACCATTTAAGATTCAAAAATTGCTATCAAAAAAACTAATTTTGGAGAGGGGAAAACACATAGAAAACTATGAAAAATTGAGATCAGTGTATAAAAACAATATGAAAAAAAAAATGTACTTCTTATTAACCGTATGAGATATTAAGTGGTTCACGATAAAATGATCACCCTGTACAAAAACCCGAACATGCCATTTATAATATTTATTTTATTAATTAAAATAGATCTCTAATAATACCACGGCTAAATGTTTACAATATTTTACTTTAATTAAACTATGCTTTAAAACAACTTATTACTAATTAGTACACCTAACTATGAGGAGAAAACTCATTGACAATGTTACTGCATTGTAACTACTCGTCTCGACAATTTGCAGGCAAAATCTTGATAAATAATTTTATTTTATCAAACAAGCCAAAAACATATTTCAACGGGAACAAAAAATCTTCAGTAAATATTGGTAATGATATACAAATGTATATAGTATCTCAGATAAGACGTATACGTTGTTAAGTGTAAGATCTCAAGTTTGAACACAGAAATAAACCAAACAATAATTGACTTACCACTGTGTTCAGTGAAGATATTTAGTCCTTGGTTTTTGCCTTCTTTAGCTGTGACAAACCGTGGTTTTGATCGAGTACTTCGTACAGTCAATGAGCCTGAAGACAGAGCACGGTCTTTCGTCTGCTGGGCACCCATGACTTAAGACCATCACCCTACAACCGAGTTGAATTCACAAATCCAGCAGACAAACATAGGGGAAGACCTCCAAGATGGGACAGGCTGTGTTTGCAAACCGCTACGCGTACATACATAGCGCATACAAGGAAGACAACAATACGGCCATCAGTTAAACTTAACAACAAATTCATAAAAATAACATTGTAATCAAAGTAAATAATAATTAGAAAAAATTTAATGAGGTATAATGTATGTAATTATATATACGGTGAAGTGTCTGTAATTTTCTTCTCCAGTTTCTCGCTTATCACTTATCAGCAGGCATAGTGGAAGAAATTAACCGGATACACCGTTTTTGTTTAACCCTGGTTTATTATTGTAAACCACCGATAAGGGCTATCAATTTTAATTTGAAAAACTATAATACCAAATTATTAAATGTGACTTACCGCTTTGCGCTTACGAGTTGCGACATATTTCACAATTATTATTCTGAATTCTCAGATTTTAGGTTTTTCGGTATGAATTAAAAAAACATAATAATATACCGTATACGATTTATAGAAAAAATGTCAAAAATAATGGCAAGTATAGATACTTAATTGTCTAATTATTCCCGTAATTTTTATGATTTTTTGAAGTGTTTAGAAAAAGCTTTTTAAAAACGAATTCATTTCTTTTTGGATTTACAACATAATAACTGTTCATGTTCACGTACACATATTTTATTTAATAACCGTTCAACTCGTACGTTTAATTAAACTAACAAGTTAATTTTTTTTAAAACTTGGCCATTGTTAAATTTAGTTTCAACAATTATTTAATGATAGTTGTTTTACTTAATTTTAGTAGTACTTTTGTGGTTGTTAATGCGATTATTATTAATAATATAGGTTTATTACACCTAAGAAAATATAAATAAAATTCAAATTATAAAGTATTATAATAATATAGTGGTAGACTTGACAAATAAATATAGAACTTACTTAAAAACAAATGCTATGCTAGGAGCCAAGTTTGAACAGGAAACTTATTCAAATTCGAAAACAATGTTGATGAAACAATATTTTTAGCGACTTCCTTACGTTTATTGAAGTTGTGTACATGTTTGTGATTTTGTTCTTCATCATATAAATGAGTTCATATGAATTTGTTCTTTAAATTTTTATCCATTAACTTTTTATATAGCCCGTTTTAATTATGGTCAACAATTACTTTGTTTATAACAATCGTGAAAATCAAATCTGTTTAAGAATATGTCATGATTGGTTATCACTTCACCCTACAAATGACAATAGAGAAACTATCGACCTGCAAAATCTGTAACACTGAGCTAACCATAAGTATTTAATAACAAAAACATGGTATTGTATGAGACCTAGTTAGTAGAATACACAAGTTTGATGAGTCGAAAACTCTTTCATATTACATATTGTAATAGTACATACCTCTTGGATTTAAAAAATAGTGTTTGACGCCTGGTATAAAATGACTATGCACAACTGGGTTCTTTGTATTTATTTCTAATGCTATTTAAACATTGTATAATTTATTTTTCAGTTATTCGTACCAGTGACGAGGACACTGGCAATTAATAATGTCAAAGCAATGAGCAGCTTGGCTTTGAAACACGACCGGTTTTTACAAAACACCACTTACAACTTAAATATTCAAAAGCGCCACGCTGTTACAGACTACATCAGTATAAACATAAAAAATAAAGTTTTTGACTTGGTTGATAGATTTAAAATAATAAATCCATTAAACAAAACAGTTAGTATATACTTTTGATTTAAATTTATTTGTAAATGTATTACAATATTTCTTTTAAGGATACAAATTTTTATTGAGCAGAACTGATCCTTTAGAGGGAAAAAATATTCCCTAACAGTATAATGATCAAATAGGAAAATATCCTATTTTTCTATCCTAGAAAAATTGTACTTGACTAAGATTCCCAAGTGTTCAATTATAAAAACTCTGTTTAAACAGAATTTTGAAAGTTCTTAAAAATACAGTTATTTTAAAACTATATGTATATAATATATTGTAATTAATTTATACAAATAAGTTGAGACGCATTAAACCAAAACATTATCTTCTTTGAAAAATTGTATGTAACTAATATTTTCGAGGAGTAGTAGCCGAGTGGGGAAGGCGGCAGGGCAGTATGTTAGCGCTCACCGTAGCCAGTTAGACACTTAGTCACGAACACTGTTTGTCGGGTAAGCAATCGTCCAGTGAAAACATGGCAATATTAGGCCTTAAAGGCCTGTTAAGCTACTACATGATGATGTAATAATATTTTAGTTTTATAATTTTCGTATATATATATTTTTACATGATTTATGTAGGTATTGTTTCTACATTATTATCACAAAAAAATAAACTAAATCTATATTAATTTATTGTAAGTTGAATAAAAAAAATAATAAATATCTTCACTTAAAACATATTTTTAAGTATAATTATAGATGTCTTTAATTCTGATAAATTCACGTTGGGTTGCCATTGTGTAAAGAACAAAGTTATGTATCTAAAACCTTGTACCTTAATTTTCAGTTTTTCAGATTAATTTGTATTATTTAGTATGAAATCATTATGTTTTAGAGATTCCAAGCAAACAGCTGGATTTTATACGAAACCTTGGTCGACCAAATTCCATTTACCGATATTATGAAAAGTAAAAAATATATTTTTTAATTATTTTAATGATAGTTCTAAATCTAGTGTATCTTTGATTCTATCAATTATTGACTTATGTATTTAACATTTTCATAATTACAAATTTGTATACCTGCTGACAAAGTACAAAAGCAAGAGTCTACTATAACAATAGTTATTGAACACGTTTATAATTTATACAAAAAAATGTATTCATTCGTTTACCTTTGTCAATTTGAATTTTTATAATTTAATTTAAGTCAAATAATAACATTTTATACTTGGTTATTTTTAATAATTTATATTTTAAATCATGATCATTTTTTGTTTTTTTAGAACTAAACTTACCCGATACATTTAACACATGGTTTATAATAACGGAACTTCATTTGTGGATGGTATTTGCTCGATTAATGCATGAAGGCACTAAAGGTTCTATGATCAGAAATTACATGATGGAAGCGCTATGGAACGACGTTGAATTTCGTACTAAAAAACTAGGAGGTGTAAGTATAATAGCAAAGTAAATTTTAACATTTCATCAGAGTACTTAATATTGTTTTTTTTAGTAATGTTATACTGTAATATTTAAAATTTTACACATTAAAATTGACTCCATAATGTCGGGCGTCGTGGCCGAGAGAGTTACCGCGGCAGTGTTTCTACGCACTAGCCGAGGTTCGAATCTAGGTCACTGGCCTTTTCTCTAGCTCGGCGGACAACCGTCCGGAGAGAGAAATGGCCATCCGACTGGTGTGGAAGGCAAAAAGAAACCACCACACCATGTAACCACTTCCCCAGGATGGCAACTCGTCTCTAGTAGAGCAACAGTTGTCCAACCGACCTAACAGAATTGTAGACTTGTTAGGTTTAGGAACGTTAATAAATAATAGATGTCAATAAAACATTTATTAGGTGAATATCGATATTCGTTCACAACAAGTTAATGTGTTATGTGATCAAATCCGCGGAGCATTAATTGGTTACGACGAAGGTTGGCTAACCAATGACATGGTATTAGCCGGCATGGTTTGGAGAAGAATATTCAACCAAGAATGCAACGACCCACAAAAAATTGAAGCTGTAGTAAAATATATTAGAAAACAGGCAAGATGATATTCTTACATAACTTATTCTTAAAAACACTAAAAAAAATCTTTTTTTTTTTATTTTACAAATTAATAGATGGCTGTTCTTCAAACTCAAACATTTGATAGTTTATTTACAAAGAAGGAAGTAAAATGGATTCATTTTGTATAGAAACCAAATACAAACTGTAAATAGAGTAACATTACAATATTATATAAATATGATACATGTCAATATTATATATTTATATTATATACTTTAGATCTTTTGACATTTCAACATGCCTAACAATTATAAATAGAATAATATTGTTAAACTAATAATATCAATTATGTTTGGTGTAAATCTCGCAGAACTCGTTGAGGGTACTATTTGCAATCCTATCGAAACTGTCAGACATATTCATGGTTTCATGAACAACTTCATCAGCCTTGGTAGACAAATTACCGTCTGCTAATTGCAAGCTTGCAGACAAATTGGCTGATAATACTTGTTCACTGTCCTCGATCATAGTGAATGCTCTCAAATCGTTAGAATCCAAACGATCTAAGCTCGAAAAGGTAGTTTCCATTAAAGTGGAATCGTTATTACCCTCAGTTGGACATGGTAGAGGCGTAATAGTGATGGCCGTTGGTAGGCTACAGCTAGATTGAGATGGTGTACAGTTAGTAGTTTGATTGTTTAATGTTGGACACACTTCGGTAACGGTACAGCCACTAATTGTACCACAATTTGTTTGAATTCCTGAACGTTAGAATTAATTGTAATTAGTAACGAACAAAATAAAAGCATAGTTAAAGCTATTGTTTTAAAAGCTTATAATATGGAATAAGAATTTATATTTTTAATATTTTATAAACACTTAACTATTATATTTTTACTTAGCAATATAAATGTACCTTGAGGTGGTCTGACTGTAACTTTTGATAAAGTTATCTGCCCGTAAAAGTTATTAGAGCTAGTAACAGTATTTGGAAATTGATATTCCAATGGGGATGGCGTTCTAGAATTGTATAAAGGTGAAGGTTGCCCTAGAACGTTGGTATTAGATAACGGATACAAACTACTATATGGATTGGGGCTAGTTTCTAAACACAAAAACATAATATTTAAAAATTAATAATACTACACCACAATATAACATCCATGTTAATGTATTTTTCTAACCTGGTTCTTCCTTTATGGGCACTGCAATAGATATTGGATCAATGACCATACCTTCGATAAAATTTGATGACGAAGTCAAAAGTCCTAAAATTTTAGAACAAGAATAAAATTAACAATTAGAAGCAAAAAAGGTTATGTCTTTCTTAAAGACAAAAGCATTTAAATAATTACATGCATGTTATAAAAACAAAAAGAAAGCAAGTTAAAATCACAGGCAAAACCCCATAGAAATATTGTGACAGGAAGTATTAATTTTTCAGTGTTCTAAAAATCAAATTATTCACATCATAAGAGTTCTAAAAACTACAATCTACTGAAACATAATTTTAAAAAAAACAATGTAAATCAAAAAGAACAAGAACTTTTTAAAAATAAGAAATTCTACCTACAAAACTAATTTGCGTAAATTATTTTATTATAAATAAAATATTTTCTCTCAATACAAAATTAATTTTTCTATAATAATCTAAACAATATAAATTATAATTAAAATACTTCATAGTGTATTTAAAACTATCTTTATGTTTTAAAGACCTAGGAAACACAAATTTGCTAACTCTAAAAAGATTACAATACATTTTTGAAAATAAAAATAAGTGTTTTAAGCTATATTATTTTGTGTAGATATCATTTAACTAAAAAACTGAATAAACTCTCAAAATAACAATTACATTTCATTAAATATGAATTTGTTAACAATAAGAATGAATAATTTAATTAAGCTGTGAAGCACAACAAAAAGACTGCCCGCGTCTTGAAATCTACTTAAGAAACACACATTCTGCCCAAAAAAAAAAAAAAGGAAAAAATACTCTATCTCACACTTTTACTTACTTAATTCAAATTCCAGATTTAATTTTTTCGCTTCTTCATCTTGCAATTTCAGAAAACTAAATAAACTACAAATGTATATATATATATATATATACATACACACACACACTCACATAATATTCATACACATATACATATATGTATTTTTATGTTAAGAATACAATGTAGAAATAAACTCGAACATATAAAATAAAGAAAAAAAAAACGAGATTAAAGAAATTAATATATGAATATTGTTCCCATTACTATTATTGTTATAAAAACTAACAACATGCTAATTAAGAGCAATTTAACATAAACTTGACTGACACCGGCACCAAATGGTAACGTTTTAAAAATCACCTTATATTGCCCATTGATTTTTTTAAAAGCTTAAATGTCTTGTTATATTTTTATTGCTACTCACTAGGGTCACTCTGTAATTGCCTCAAAAGATCACTTTCGCAAGGTAATTTCTGTCTTTTCCTTTTCAACATGGCTGGATCTATAACGCGCAATAAATGAATCAATAAACATGGGTATAAACTTAGAAAATAAAATATATTTTTGAACATTAAAACTTGGCTCACAATATTTGATGGCAATATAAAAATGTATACACCCGCAAATGATATTAAATCAAGTAAACAAGAAACAATTAACATAAATATAGCACTATATAAAACGGTTTCAAAATTATAACATTTAAATTAGTTTACACGAATTTATCATGATTCATGGCATTTAATTATTATCATAGTACATATGTATAATAAAGAAAAAAAACTGTGTTAATATCTGTTAACCTATCAAAATGTAGGACTAGATTTGTTTTTCTAAATATGAAAACTGTATAATATGTTAAACTATTTAATGGTATTAATAGATTATCCTAATCTAAAATATATTGTTAGTACAAGCAAAAAAATCAATTAAATAAAATTATTATTTATTATTGCCGGTCAATTAAATTCATTTCAAACCCTGATACGTATTTCCACAAGTTGTTTGTTTCATTGTTTTCACTTTTTAATACTATTTAACGGGCGAAATTGTCCCCCCTTCTACAGAACTATAATAAATAGATGCTTCATCAAACTCAGACATGGCTGCATGTGGTGCGACGGATGTGTACAAAGCATAATTTTCGGCCTCAGTCAATGGCGTATCATCAATACTACTATTGGAGGAACAAATGGATTTATTTTTTTTTCTCATATTTAACAACTTATGTAACAATTTAACTTTGGTAGCTTTTTCAGGTACTGTCGGAAGACGTTTGCTTGGTTTTGGATTTTTTTTCATTCGTTTAGGCGGAAGAGGCGGCGCTGGCTCATTATCGAATCTAGGTTTTGTACTATTAGGAGGTCGAGGAGGTACTGTCATCGATACGTCCTCATAACTTTGGCATCTGTCTGGCATTGAACATGGATTTTTAAACGCCATTTGTAAACTAGAATATGTACCCCGCAAATCCTCTCCAACCACGCCTGCTGTATCTATAGACGATTCACTTATCAAGTCATCTTCGTTTTCTTTGTTAGTATCAAAACAATTTTCTTCCTCGTCTTCTAACGGCTCATATTTAACTACTATTTCCATTTCTTCACTGTCGCTATCTTCATTACCATCAAAAACAACACTGACTGGTACAGTATCAGGTGGTTGTTCTTCCGCTAAGTGTTCACTGATATTTTTTTCCGGTAGCCTATTATATTTCTGAGGGGACATACCTGAATCAACCGGTGTTAACAAAAACGGACGAGCATCACTACACATTCCATCGGTGGGTCTTTTAAGTTGAATCCATACTTTGACAGGGTAATCAACCTGAACAAATGTTTAAAAAATATTATTAAAAATAGATTATGTCACTTGCAAAATGTAATTATAATTTTATTTTGAACTTTAAACCAAAATATTTTTTTCGAGTTCTGGGTGTTGAAAATAATGGGTTTTTTAAATCGTTGAACACCTTAATTCGAAAATTAATTTGAGTGTTGGTTGTTCTTACTTTAAAGGCCCATAAGTGCGACTAACAAACTATTATTTGATAAATTATAAAAAGTCCAAAAAAATGTATTAATTTAATTAATAAGCAGCACTTTATCTACTACACTACAATTCCACTCCAACTACATAAACATTCAATTTTAAATTTGGGAAATAAAAAGTTCAGAGATTATTTTTACATTGTAGAAATTTGAAAACTTATAAGTAATACTAGAAAGTGTCTAAACATTTGACATTTTATGTCTTAGCTCTGGCACATAACCGAAAAAATTGTTAGTTACAAAAGCATTACAAAAAGAAGTAAGAGATAGGGGGTAGGATAGGAGATAGGGGGCGAAATTTATTTGGTACTTCAACGAGACATGATAATGCTCTTTCGTGGTTGCAGACTTGGCTGAAAAATGGTTTTTATATTATATTTAATACTGTTAAGTTGGGTAATTAATATATTTGTTGTTGACATTATAATTAAACATGTAACTAATTTAATATAATTTTCGTCAACAAAAAAACCACCCTCAGCTAAAAAAAACAAAAGGTTGTAGTGTAGGCTTTGTGAAAAAAATAAAACATACTAGTTTTTATAAAAAGGGAGAATATTAATGCTCAATACCTGCAATGTTTTATACTTGGGTGTTCTAAAAGAAATAGCCACTTGTTTATGAACATCTGAAGGTTGAAAATCAGCGTATCCTTCCCAAGTGCATAAACCATCTTGTTCTTCATAAAATCTTACTTGAATATCATCTAAATTAAAAATAAATTAAATTACCAAACTTGTTTATCTTATCTTATAAGTTCATTTTTAGTTAAAATTAGTTAATATTAGTATTACCTTTGGTTACTTTTTCACATAGAAGTATAATTTCTCTGCCTCCAGCAACTGACGCTGCAGCATCGCTCAATCTACATATTACTAAATCAGACATTGCTTCTACGATAAAAAAACAAAGTAAAATTATTAAGGAGACAAAAAATGCAGGATATTACATTTCACGATTAACTTACTTTTATCATAGATGGGATCGGAAACCACTGGTTCGAGAATGCTGTACTTTCCTTTTTGTGAGCCTCCCAAAAATGCTTGAAAGCACAGTCGAACGGCATTTAGATCAATTGAGCTAGGATTATCTTTGTGTGAGAACCCAGCTGAAAATTGTTGATATAACCTTAAATTATGTTTAGTTATAAACTTTAAAATGAGCCTACAATAAATATCATATATATTTTTTTTATAATTAATAAAAAAAATCATAATATAATTATGTAAATATTTCGGGGCATCATATTCGGGTGGCAATCAAATTCTGCAGCCAACCAGTCATAAGATTAGCCAGATTTTTTATACTACTGTAAAATTATTTAAATATTTATTTACAAACTTTTTACTTAATAACTAAAACTTTACAAAAATGTAATAGAAATTTGAATAATTTTTTTAACTTACTTCTAAATGGATCTACTCGAATATCTTCCCGTATTTTGAGATGCTCATCTATATCTTTCCTTTTAACACACTGTATTCCTAAGTTTTGAAAACTAGCAGTCATCGATTCATTATTTATTTCAATAGTACAAATGCCTCGTTTGCAATTGTCGCGGCCGACAAGATTATGTGGATGAGGACGAAAAGGTCTATCTTTGGTAACACAGGATACCACGACAACAGCCCTTCCTTTATAACCTACTATCTGTAAGAATATTAAAGACATATTAATGGAAATGATTTCAGTTTGATAACAATAATAAATTATAATATTCAAGTCAATTTAAGTATAAGATACAGCTACGGTTTTTTCAACATATGCAGCGTAATAAACCGACCTCATGACAAGGATAATTCAAATTAAATAATTATACCGAAAAGCAAAACATATTTCTACCTGAATTGTTGGATAGGTTTTATTTTCAGTTGTACTGTTCACTCCAGGTATACTGCCGGCAGATCTACCTTCACACTCATATCGAAATCTTAGAGCTTTTGAAGCTGGCTGTTCGACTATTTTTATGTAAGGGGCATTAGCTGTTCTACGGCCATTACTTGACGAAGGGCCGTCCATTTGTTGTAAAGGATCAGCACGTACGTGTTCTTCTATCACCTCAACTACAAAAGGTAATAAAGATATATTAATTAATAATTATTATGCATACATAATTCAGTCAAAGCTAGTTTTTTAAGCTCGACTCATATTGATGTTCAGAACAAAAACTAGCTCGTTTCATTTTGTCAACAAAAATTACACTTCAGCTTGCAAAAACAATGGACTAGTGTCTAGTTTTTCATTCAGTGACTGAAACTTGCTAGTTTTGATAAGGAGCATCACATATCTTAATAACAAGTAATTTATTAACACAAACACAAACTTATAAAATTATTTCTAATAACTAAATTGATTTAAGAGGTTATTATAATTGGGTAATAGTTTACTAATAGGAACTTTTTCAAATAAATTCCTTAATTCTTTTAGGCATACCTTGCTTACAATAGCAAATTATAAAAATGTTTATAACATTACATTAGTAATGTTTAAATTTAATTAAATAGACTACACAACAATTAGCCATGTAATGGAAATAATTTGGCCTATTTCGGCTGATAATTATCAAAAATACAATAAGCATAATGTTTGTAACTTTAATATAAACCTAGAGGTACAAATTCAAAAAAATTGTAATGTCATCGATTTCTTTAAAATTAGGTATACCGTATAAGCCAATTTTTTTCATTATCATTATTAGTATAATTATTATTATTGAATAACATTAATTTACCTTTTTAATATTATTCAATTTACTTTTGTTTTTTAATATTGAAGCAAGATGTATAGAATAAGTTAGTTACTATTGGTACTCGCCGAACAACTTTTGTACTTAATGAGTAACGTTTCACAAATATAATCCACGATAGATAGTAATTAAATAAAATAATATACTTATGCTGGGTTGCATAAAGAAATAATTTAATTTAACGGTTCATTAAAATTTAATGAACCAATTACGAGCTTCTAAATTAAAATTAAAGAAACCAGTAAACCATTATTGGTTCATTTAACTTTTAGTGAACATTTAGTCAACCCGGCAGATGTTTTGGTACATTGCACATTAACAAAGTTAAAGCACGGAGAATATAAAAAAGGTATAACGACTGCATTTTTAATTCAAATGTCATATTGTTTTTGTTATCACAAGTTGTTCAGGTACTTACTGACATCACTTAGGTGAAGATCGGGTATATTGGATTGTTTATCATTTAGATCCATAATTGGCCGATGCACAGTTAACAATGATTGTAAAAGCAAACAGACACACACATGGAAATCAACTGAACGATTCCAAAAAATTTGAATTCATAAATTTCAGTGATAGCAAATTAGTAATGCTGTCAAGGGACAGCTCCTTGAACAGACACACACTACGGTTTTTGTTAAAACATGCTGCAAACTACTAAAAAAATTAAAAATTAAATCTGTTATTAGAATTAGCACTCAAAAACACTATCATAGCCATAGGTAGCTTACGTATAAACGATTAAATGTTTGTAAACGGTGCTTTCAAACCTGTGATTCGCGGTGAAGGTGCATCATTCGTTTAAACCATATTATAAAAAACGGGCAGTTCGTCTATAACTGGCGACAAATTAATCGGCAAACAATTTGCACTTGCACTCCCGACTACAATTGGTAACAAAGCCACAGTAATAAACTGTGTAAAAATAAAACATCGGATATATTATATTATTATATATACATATACATGAAAATGAGCGAGAAAAACAAACTAAGATTAGATAGTACAAAATATACGAAATAAGAGGGAGAATATTATGCGAGCAGAGGCCAGAGAACGAACGAAGCCCGCAGGGTGCCAAAACCTGTAGTATGAAATGGTAATAGTTACTATAGATGTGTGTGCACAGTGTAGCCTAATATACATTTAAGACAACCCTCTACTATTAAACACGAGTGGGATACCAGAAACGCCATGGTACTATGATCTATGGCAATTGCCAATTGGTAATTGCAGTGAATCTCCGTCGTAGTTCTTGTACAATAACATGTTACGTGACCGATGAATCACGAAAACAATTTATTAAAAAATATAAAATAATATTAATTATGGTAATATTGTACAATGTACAATAGGATTTTTAATGAAAAAAATTTAAATGCTACACTAAGATGATAATTCTAGTTATGAAGCTTCCTACCTACCAATTATAATGGTCTTATTAGTTGTTATAGGTAGAGGCGCAATACCTTATAAACACTATCAGAGGCCCCTAAACTAAGTCATATACAAATTACAAATTGAAGGTCCTTCCTACCGAAAATTATAGTTTATAAACAGTCCTGGAAAAGCTGAGAATACACGTCAGTCGTCATGCACACCTTCCCTGCAATCAACCCTATCCTATCTAATCCATATTATTACTATATTCATAATTTAAAAATTCAACAGACTACAATATTTATTTGTATGATATAATATAATAATATACCTACATTTTTTTATAAAAGTAATAAAATCGACATTTCTTTTTTTAGAGCTCCTTGAATGTAAAAAATGTGTAGTCAAACTTTTTTTTTTTAAGTAAAACCTAAAAAATAAGGGGTAACTTTCACATTGACCGTAGTACATTTCTAGATTACCAAATTAGAGTGAATCCTACTGTCAACGGATATCTAAAAAATATTTTCAATTTGTATGAAGTTGATTTACCCATTAGTAATAACGGCTACGAATTATTAGAAATGACAGACGATCAACCTTAATCGTATCCATAATAATACTATTAATAAAATATTAAACACATTTTTGCCTTCACAATGCTCTATCGATATTTATTATTTCTATCTTCTCCCATCTGGCATCTAAAGATCTACATCGCAGCGTTTTAAGTAATTCTCAAAAACCTGCGATGTCCCCAAACTAAAAAATGCTGTTAGTTTTTAATTTCGGATTTGTCTGAATAGTTCTTACATTTAGGTTTTCATTTCTAACAGTTATTAAGATAAATTTACGATTTACCAATAACATAAAACATTTTATATAATATTTTAATAAACTACATTTCACCTTGTTTCTTTCTATTTAAAAAATCAAAATTAATTGTTTTAATCAAAATGTTTGTTAACAAACTTTTGATCATTTGTCATATTTTAAGACTAAATATCGATACTGGGCAAAATACTTTATCTATTTTTTTTTATAATTTTTAGATTGAAAAAGCGTTTTTTATTTACGATTTAGTTGTTCAGCTATTTGAAAATTATTTGCTCCTAAAAAACGCTACTGTTAATCCAAATAATTAGTTTGGGATTTATAATTTGGCTACAATCATTTTTAAATATTTATAAATGATTGTTATGATTATAAACAAATAACTATTCTGAAATGGTAATATTTTCATTGTTCCTGTTGTAATATATCAACAGTTAAGAAGATATTCACATTTATTTGATAGACAGATGATTATTTACATAAAACAATATTTTATGTATTCAGAACAATGATATTAAAATACAAACTATTTATCTTAATATTACAATACAAATTATAAAACTTACAATAAAACAATATCTTTACAACAATATTAATAAAATTAATGACTTACAATTATTTATACACATTAATAAATACATCACAAATTTAAATTTTAAACGTCATAACTGATCATGTGGAGTTAGTTAAACTAGCCATCAGAAGTTCAATTTTGTTCAAAAAATTTTTACCTTCCATTTTATCCCATCGGACTTTTTTAAAGGAGCCACCTAAATTTTCCCATTTTCTCTCTTTCACTAGTTGTCCTCCAAAAAAGTCTTTTTTCGGTGAATGCGCGATACTTACGCTAACATTACCTTGGGGCTCACATTTCACCGATATCAACCTATCACCAATGGGTGATGCTAGTAGACATGAACTAGCATTACCCATAGGTTCGACAGGGCCTAATCCAAGATGTGATGAACTAGCCAAAAATTGCCATCCTTGTGTTTTAGCTACAGACTGAACTCCAACAATTTGATGTTGATAAACCTAAAAAAAAAAAAAATTATAAATACCAGATAAATATACATAAATAATAACAGTTATTTTAAATGCATTACTTGACAAAAGATTAGATCTCTGAGTTCTTGAGGTTCATAAGATAAATACATGACTCTACCATCTCGACAAACACATTTTAACGATTTTTTCATTACGTGAATGACAAGAGAAGTTCTACAAATACAGTCAAATCCATGAGAAACAATAGTGATCTTAACACATGACTGAGTTGGCGAGTTTAACGAATTCCAGTGGGAAATTATAGTTGGGTCTTTAACCTGCAGAATAATTAAATTGTAAAACATAATTTTGTAATTTTTGTTTTATAAATACTAGATAGAAAAAAACTTTACCTCTTTTGATAATGTGTCTAAGACATATTCAGTACGTAATCTCATGAAAAAATGCTGGGCTTGTTCAATGATTTGTTCCAATAATGTCTGACTATAGTTTGGGGAAAAACATTTTTTAAATCTTTTTAAAGTAATTCAATTTTTATAACGTATATTAATCATATAAGAAAACGATTATCACATAAAAGTCATGCTCTAAAAAAAACTATCCACATCATTATGATATAGATAATTGTTTTTTTTATACATTTTATGCTTAACATATTATACTTTTTACTAATTTTTTAATAATGTTAAAATTTAACTGACCTCTTTGACATTTCTATTAGTTCAAATCGATCTGCTGCATTGGGCCCCGCAACCGCACGCCTTTTACTCGGTCCCAGAGGACCAGAAGAAGGATGCGGGAAAGGCTGGTGAGTATTTCTATGGTGTACTTCTCTGAGGAGTTGGTGAAGAGAATGTTCTAGTACATGATCGTGATCGGTTTTAGAAGGTAAAACTGTGTTTGAATTGCCATTTGTAGAACTATGGCACAAACCAATAATCAACTGAATACCAGGAAATACCTAGATATTAATAATAATTATAAAAACGAGCATCTTATAAAGACAAAAATATTATAATTTAAAAAAAAAAATTGTCTAAATGTATTTCAAACGTACGGTAGCAGTTATTTGATTTCCGACAACCATATGGGGTATTGCTGCTTGTAATTGAACTGCCTCCTTGGCCAATTGGTTGAATAGTTCTTTACAAAATAATACGTTCTGAGCGGCTTCTAATTTTTGCTGCCAATGCATATCTGGGTTTGGCGTAGCTGGAGCCGATCCCAGCAAATTAATTGATGTGTTAAATATATTCTCTTGATCTAAAACAAGTTTACAATTATATTTACATTGATTGAAAAAAAAAAAATTCTATCAACATTAATTCATTCTAGGCACCTTTCTGACATAATACCATAATATAAGAAACTCCTTGAAGTTCTGCAGGAATCGTTACTCTAAGCGCTGATGGAGATTTGGCAACTGGTACATTTTGCACAGGAGAAGACGAAGGACTACCATTTACTCCTCCTACATTTGGTTGTACATCATCTTCCGCTTTAGTCACTTCAAACATACCACTCTGTCCGAATTTTGAACCAGCTACGACAAGTATAAATTAAGACTTAAATTTTAAATTATTATGTATAACAGAGAATGAGTGGTCAAATGGGTAAGGCGGCAGTGTGGAAGCGCTCACTGCCGCGACCTTGACACTCAACTACGTGTGGTCTCTCTCTCAGGCAACTGTATAACAAAAAAAGGCTACCTTACTGGCGCCTCTAAAGAAAACTGCCAAATTGGCTATATTTACACAAGAAAAAAATTATTGTTTGTTTACCACCAATTTCAAAATTAAGTCATATTTTGTTATATTAAATAAATTCTAACTAGCTTAAAAATGTATATATTTTTTTTACATGAATATGTCTTATGGCTGGGGGTCATTTTGAAAATTTGTCCGTCACGTTTTGGGTGACATGGCAAGTGTCAGTGCTGACGTCATTATGGAGAGATTATAGAGGAAGATTATGGAGGGATTATAGAGGAGGATTATGGAGGGATAAAGTTAAATCAAGTTGCAGGATTATAAGGATATAAGAATAAAAGGATATATAAGGATATAACAATATATATATATAAGAATGAATTTGTTAGGTAGGCACTTAATTACTGGCGAACCATGGAAATTGATTTATGAGAAATGTTAATTATTGATAAATGTTGCCAGTAAACCAATTATGGCCAGATATTATAAAACTACTAAAAAACGTTTGACCAGAACATATAATTAAGACTATACTATCATCATATATCGCAAGGAGATTATAGATCAGAAATAATCATATAATTATCAGGACATATTCGTGTATTGATGTATCTGCATGAAGTGGGATACTCTTAACTAAGTTTACTCAGTTGGCTTTTAAAATTATACTATATTCAACTTAATATATTGTCTATTGATAAAAAATATTAATCAACTTTTTCATTCATGCAGCTCCCTTGTTATTCAAAAAAGTATTTAACAAAAAATTAATAATTTTATTTACCAGTTTTGTAACTTAAATCTCCAATAATAGCGGTAGAAACTTTTTTCAATCTCCAATTTTGCCGAAGCCTTAACAATTCAATATGAAAATCAGGAGTAGTTCTGTTCCTCATAAATTCATTTTGACTACTTCTCAAACGATCAACAGCTGACATTATAATGTTTGAAGCACTTGCTAAAGCCTGAAAAAAAATTAAAAATGTTATACCTATAAATTCAAGGTAATTAAATTTGAACACACATAAGATATAGAAAAACATTAAAAATTCTAGCGAACATTCTACAAATTTAACTACAAAGATGGTAGCTAGGTATTTATATGCCTTTAAAAACAAAAACAAAATTGATATATTACTAAAATTTGTAATAACCATCTGATTAAAGACAAAATAACTATTTTACTTAAACAATAATGTTGAGATTTACTTACCTTTTTACGAAGATAGATTTGTGCCATTGGTTTGGTTTCAGTTAAGTCATTTTGAATAGGATCTAAAATCATGTACCTCTTTTCTTTTGTAATAGCCAGCACATCTGATATAACACAAATCTCTGTAGCTGCTTTTCTAAAATCAAATAAAACAATTTTAATGCCACAATTTTTTTTTTTTGACAAAAACCTCAAGATACAATTGTGTATGAATGTATTAAAGCTTTCATAAATTGAAATTGAAATATTATGAGAATAATTTTCAGATGTATCCATGTCTTCTGTTTTTTTATGTTGCTTCGGACTCATTGAAGAGTCCATTCTCAGAGCACTATTTATTGTTCTGTTGCTGTGACTATACTGAGACAATATAGTACTGACATTCATAATACAATTTTGTAGGGTTTGCCCTCGAATCAATTTTATAATGGAACCATTTTATTGTGTACAAGGTCTTCTTTATTGCTAGCGCTACACTATCGCCGAGACAATACGAGCACAAAAATGAAGTCAGGTACACTTGACTTATCTCACCTTACAGTCGCTTCATTCTGTGTCGGTATTTTTGGCACAAGTTAAAGGACACAAGGCAAGATAAGAGGCGAGAGTGTAGAACTAGCACAATAAACTTGTACAACGCAATACCCTGTTTTCAAAAGATCCCAAAATATTTTTCAAGTAGCTGTAACTTTTGAACTACAAGAGTCTGCGGATTTCTAATTACAAATTTGAAATCAGCGTAAAAAATACATTATTAAACAGCAAAAAAAAAAAATGAGCCCGATTAAGTAAATTTATACCCATGTCTGCATATGGTTACGAAAACTTAAAGGTTTACATGAAAAAATGACTAGAAAATCACTCTGATTATCACCGATATATTATAGAGAAAATATTCAACGTTTACAAACTAAAATCAACATTTTTAATGATTTGATATAATTATTATTATTATTATTATTATTGTTATTACTTTAGTTTAGAAACAACAGAATCAATCCATCCAGATACTGGAGCATTAGATGCTTGATCTTTTGATTCATCTTCAGTTTTGATTTCCACCTCAGGCTGTTTAAGATCCTCTTGTTCGACCTTACTGAAATCGATTCTTTGTGCAAGCTTTGACAAGTTATCCGACATAGAAAGTGCCCTGGAAAAAAAATCATAAAATTATTGTGAACCACAAATAAATCTTAAAAAAAAAAAAAAATACTTAGTTAAGAAAATCCGTCTTTATAGCTAATCTATTTTTTACTTACAATTATTAAAATAGATATTAATAGAACACTTCTATGAGAACACATCTTTCAATCTTATCAGGCCATTCTATTAGGCCCTTACCGTCCTGCAACGATGTAAATCATCGCCCATTCCTGATGTTAAAGCCATCCCGCCATCAAGCAATATTATTATACATATATATAAAAAAAGATTTTATTGTGATAGTGAAATTTTAGGTTCTTCAATTTATAATTTATGTCAAAGAAAGTTTTAAATCCTTTAGAATTTTCATCTCTTCTCTCTCTGTTTTCAAACATATTATTAGAAAACAACAGTCAACACGAAACCATTATCCAATCTTCTTGTTTTCCACATATTATCTATATTTTTCTCCCCATTACTCAAATTGCATGCATAGTACTAATCTACAAATGTGAACTAAATTCACCTTTCAACATTTTTTAAGTCTTTTTCTCTACCCTAGGTTTATTTGAATGAAAAAATATTCTCTGCTTTAAACCTAAATAAATAGGAAAGTTATTAGGACAATTATTAGGACCCTGTTGCTTTTGACAAATTTAAATGAAAATTTGTATCCCTTATACTTAAACATCTCCCCCACTTAAAGGACTTATTATAATCTTCCTAAATTATTTATTTACTTCCTAAAGTTAAATTCCGTTTTTTGGGCAAGATTTTCATGTTTCTCAAGTCAATTTGTCTTATTTTGAATTTTTTGAAGTAGAAATTATATAATAGTAAGGTCAAAACTTACGGTTGATATAATTCTTGTCCATCGTATGAAATTTCTTGAATTATATTTTCAGCTTGAGTTTCAATACTTATATTAACACTCGTAGAATATGCCATGGTAAAAATGACAAAAACTGTTTTTAAAACTATTCGATTTCGGCTCACTATTCAATAAATCAATTTTAAAATCACAACAATGTCGAACATTTGAAAAATTTAATTGTTCGTTGGCTTTTAAGGTAGATAAACTAAAATTTCCATTTAAAAATTAAAAATCCTCTTATTGTGATTTGTGTTTATATTTAAAAGTACAATTTAGAAATTAGAATGATATGCTATCTAATATAGCTAATATAGCTACTGCGAAGTGAGCTGTTGAGTGCCGCTGAAGTTTTTGATTGGCAACTGAACACTGAAGTTAGGTCTGATGTTTGGATCGAAATTAAAATGTACAGCCATCAAAGACATAAAAGATAGGTATGTTAGCAACTTGTGATAACCACGAACTATCTGCCGGCGTTCCCGGGCAGCTGTGTAATTCTTAACAAAAACGCCAGCAGCCATATTGTCAACATTGATAACACAAGTTGCCGAAATACTTGTTTACTTTATTATCCCGCCATGATGGATGATGAATACTATGAGCATTGCACACAGATCTAACCACGGTCGTGGTTAAACTCTAAACACAGCTATGGTTATAACAATGGTAGCTTAGATGTTTTAGCATTTACCGAACCCGTAACTGATAACGATAGTTTTGTTGTTTAGTAACAAATCAGTCAGTAACAAATTAAATATAAGTCAATAGTTGTTTCATAAGCTCGGCCATGGATTTTGGATTTTTTGATTAGTGTTACGATTTTTGTTAATTTGAATAAGAAAATACATAATATTATTGTTTACATTTGCGATTAATATATATTTATATATAACTACAATTTGTGTTGACTTTAAACGTTTGTTATATATTCAAAACATTTTAGTTTAATCGATTAAAAATGTCAAATTTTCCGCCAACTCCAACCAACCCAATTGTGCAGAACAGATTTGGACAGTATCCTAATCAAAATTATCCAGTTAGTTAACCAGAAAATACCATGTGATTATGAATTTATAAGTAACTATTCGTATATTACAGATGGCACAGAGACCAAGTATGTACCAACAAGGAGGGCCAATACCACAAGGGGTGCCACCTAATGCTCTGATGGGGGCCCGTGGACCACCTAATCAAGGATTCAGTCCTATGAGACACGCTAGTGGACCTATGGCGCCAAGTCAACAAACACCAGGGAAACGACCAGCCGATACCCGAAACCAATCTCCTATGGCCAAAGGGTAATGATAAAAATAATTACTCTAAAGAACAATTTGTATATTTTAAATTTCTGTAGTTTTCTTTACAGATATTACTAATAGTTACTTAAATTATTTCTTACTAGAAATTTACATCTTAAAGAGTTCAAAAATATTTTTAATTATATAAGTATTTATTACAAAATAAATATTAATCATATAATGATTATCCTTACTGCTACTTGTGCTGTGCACTCCCATTCAAAATGTATTATATTAAGCCTTGTCCATTATAGTGAACTGCAAATTATAACAAACTACTCCAAACATTTTAAATGTTCGTGCATACTTCAACATTTTAGCAATTCACCTAATGTCTGTATTTTTAGTTCTAGGTTTGGCTTGCTAGTATAGACGAGGGTTTACATTTGTCATAATTAAAGCCAATTTGAATAATAATATATTATATTATGATGACCACTCCAATAAATTTCATAATAAAAAATAATAAGTATACATTTATTTTATTTTATTGTTGACGTACGGAACAAGCCCAAAAAGATTAGAAAGTACATTTTTAATGAGTATGTACATTGCACAGTAACATAAAGAAAAAAAAAAATTTTACAACAAATAGTATTTGAAAATACATATTTTAACTAGTTTGATTATACAAGACTAAACATACAAAAAAAAACTAAATGATTTATGGCATAACAAATAAAGGGTCAATTGACTATTCACATCATATGGACTATGGAAAATTTAGGTGATAGTTTATGGAGAAATAATGGATTTGAAAAGGAAAATGGGAACTTGTGGAACGAGCAGGAACATTAAACTAAACAAGAGATCTTATCTAAATTTGAAAAAAATACCAAATTATAAAACAAAAATGTCTTACTATTTAAACAAGATATCTTTGGTTTCAAATTGCCAATGGACACTTTAGCATGGATAACCAAAGTTGAAATGTTGTTTTTTGTTTGGAAATTCTAACGTGCTGTTTTTGTATAAAGAGCGACAAATTAACCTTAGAAATAATTATTTTCGTCACAAGAATCTAATTTAAACAATTTATTTTCAGCGATTTTCCACACACTATGCAAGTACAAAGTGGAATGATAAGTAAAAAGAAAAAGAAATTAGCAGACAAGATATTGCCCCAGAAAGTACGTGATCTTGTGCCAGAGTCACAGGCGTATATGGATTTATTGGCTTTTGAAAGGAAACTTGACTCGACTATAATGAGAAAACGACTGGACATACAAGTAAATCATTCAAATAACTTTTTTAGTAACTACTGTAAATGACATATTGGTGGTAAAGTAACTTGACAAAATTGGAGATGTTGTAGTAAAAAATGAATGTTTTTAAAACAAAACTTAAATTGCAATTGTTTTCTATTAGGAAGCATTAAAACGTCCGATGAAACAAAAAAGAAAGCTTCGTATATTTATATCAAACACTTTTTATCCAGCAAAAGAGCCGGGTGAAAACGAAGAAGGCAGTGTCGCTTCATGGGAGTTGCGGGTGGAAGGACGCTTGCTCGAAGATTCTAAAAATGAGCCAAATAAAGTACCAACTTTTGTGTTCTAAAATAATATAATAACAATAATTATATAACGACTTGTTTTGTAATCTAGATTAAAAGAAAATTTTCATCTTTTTTCAAATCGCTTGTTATTGAGCTCGATAAAGATTTGTACGGGCCTGACAATCATTTAGTAGAATGGCATCGTACTGCAACTACTCAAGAAACTGATGGATTTCAAGTACAATTTTTAAATATAATAAATTTGTACGACATAATGTTTGTTCACATACTATTATTTATAATAGGTAAAACGTCCTGGAGACAAGAATGTACGCTGCACAATTTTGCTATTACTCGATTATCAACCTCTTCAATTCAAATTGGACCAACGGTTAGCAAGACTTTTAGGTGTTCACACTCAGACTCGACCAGTAATTATAAGTGCACTGTGGCAATTTATAAAAACTCATAAACTACAAGTAGGTCATTTACTATATTTTACCTTTGTTAGATACATATTATTCTGTCCTCAACCAAATGTCAACAATTTTAACCAAAGTATTGAATGCCACTTACGAAAACTAATAAGATTTCAATTTGCCAATAAAAAATAACACTTTATTAATTAGTTTTTATTTTTAGTTATTCAGGCTAAAGTGTTGTTTTTCGTTTCTCAGCTGAAACATTAGTTTTCATAACAATCTTTTTTCCCCCATACTATTATAGATCTAATAAATATAAAACTTTGTATTATAACCTTATGAAGGGTAGTGAAAGCATTTAATTCATGTTCTAGGATTCACATGAAAAAGAGTACATCAATTGTGACAAATACTTGGAACAGATATTCAACTGTACGCGGATGAAATTTGCTGAAGTACCTCAAAGACTTAACACATTACTTCATCCGCCAGATCCTATTGTAATCAATCATATTATCAGGTAATTTCACTAAAAAAATCTTTTTGTTTTACCCAATACATACTAATGTCGAATAAACTTTTTTTTTCCTTAGCGTTGAGGGAGTCGAACAAAAACAGACAGCGTGTTATGATATTGATGTTGAAGTAGACGATACTTTAAAAGCTCAAATGAATAATTTCTTATTGTCAACAGCTAGTCAGCAAGAAATTCAGGTTAAATATTATTATAATTAGTAGTTTGAAATATTCGCCAGAGTTAAGCATTATTTAAATAATTTTTTAACCAGACAAAGCAATAAATTAAAAATTATCATTTATTTAATCATTTTTTATAACAAAATTTAAATAACAACTTAATATAATTAATTTAATAAGTATAAATAATGTTATTTACGAATAAAAATAAATTTTCTATTATTTATTCTTACACTGATTAGCATTATAATTTTTTAAATTGTTTTATAGAGTCTCGATAATAAAATCCATGAAACTGTAGAAACTATTAACCAGCTGAAGACAAACAGAGAGTTCTTTTTAAGCTTTGCTAAAGATCCTCAGCAGTTCATATACAAATGGATAATATCGCAAACTAGAGATTTGAAGGTATTTTTCACAATACTTCTAAAACAGTTTTTTAAGTTGTTACAAATAATTTCTAATATTACTATTTTTTAATAACTAGACAATGACAGATGTTGTTGGAAACCCGGAAGAAGAACGAAGGGCTGAATTTTATTATCAACCTTGGACGCAAGAGGCTGTCAATCGTTATTTTTATTCAAAAGTCCAACAAAAACGTGCTGAACTGGAGCATCAATTAGGTATTCGTAATTCATAAGCCAGTTTTTTTATTTTTGTACATTTTTATTTTATGAAAAAAAAACTGCTTTACAAATTAAAAGTAATGATAGTAATATTATCAAATATTTGAACTTATATGCTATTGTTTACTTAAAATATTAATTTGTACATTTAACTTTAGACTATCTTTTTCTAACGTCTATAGTGTTTTAACTTAAACAAAATTTATGTTTAAAATTTTACAACTTGTAGTTATTAGATTATTACTTATAATTAGAATAAAAACAACTGCATCGTGTATATCGGGATTATAACAATAAAGTATAATATCTATTTATATGTCTACCCTTTGTGTCTTTTACATTAGGCAACTTTACCAAACTCTTCTAACAAGATAATATGCCACAAAAAATTAAATTTTTTAATAAAAATATTTCGTTTGAAAAAAAAAATTATGCTTAAAGATAAATATTAATTTAACTGGAAAAAAAATCCAAAACTTAAATATTTTTAAAGTCATTACCCTTTTCATTTTGATGTGGAACTAAAGACCTAAATTTTTTAAAAATAGTGTTTGTGTGAACCCATTTTTAGGTACTATTTTAACACTTTTAAAAAAGGCAAAATATTATTATTATTAAAAATATTACTATTTTATTCAATGAATTTTGTCACCTTTTTTTCTTTGAATTCACTGTATTTAAAAATGAAGATTTAGATGTAAGCAAAACGAAAATAAAACAATAAATGGTAGCGATGAAGGATGATGTTAGAAGGAATAACAGAGGTAACAGAGGAGAAATTATATAAGGATTACGCCTTAACGACGAAAATATAAAGCAAAACAGTGCATTTATATTAAATATATATAATCTATGTAGCTTCCTATAAGATATGAAAAAAAATTATTTGTACATTAAAAGTTATCAGATTTAAAAACAATGTATATATTTTATAAAAATTATTTATAAATGTACAAATTATTAATGTAACAATAATACATAACCTATTTTAAATGTATATTTTTAAATACGAGTACGATTTGATTTTTATTTCATTTATTATGCTTATAGCTGCGTTTATAAACATATTACTTACATTACTACACTATGTTGGTTTTAAGTGGGTACAAATTATAATAATAAAATACAACACATATTGTGATAAATCCTTTACGACAAATAATTTTTAACGACCCTTACAATTTCATCGACACCTACGTAGCTTATATAAAAAAGCGTACATATTGAAGTGTTACCTTTTAGGTATTTTTTAGTTTTTCGCTCTTGGTTAACCATAACAGTGACGTCCGGATACTCTTGATGGCAATGTAAATAAAATAGGTAAAGAAAATCACCACAAAACCAATAAAAGCAAAAACGTCGATCAAATAGTATTGGTACCAAGTCAAGTGTACTGCTGCTGTTTTCAAGTGATGTGCTCCCTTGTGTCTGATCACGTATTCCACCCAATAAACTGCAGTGTCGACGGCGGATAATGGCCGATCGAGAAATATAGCCGACACTCTTTTGGCGTTGTCTGTAAACCTAAAAAAAAATACAAACAAATTCTAAGTTGTAATCTAGTGTTAAAACCGATACCGAATTTGGATTCGACGCGGGTGAAAGTTTTTTCCAAAGCCGGACAAATTTTTAGACTTGACATGAATATGAAACTATTTTAACTGGTCGATAACCAGAGTTTCGTATAATTACTTTTAGAGTTATTTGTTTAAAATTTAAGACGGGGGGTGGAGTGCGGTTAAAAAATAATACAAACAGCCGAGTCTGCAACCACGAAAGAGCATTTTCATGTCTCGTTGAAGTACCGAATAAATTTAGAGTAGTGGTGGAATTATGATATAGTATATTAAGAAGCAGTACAACTAGTATATTAAAACATCACAATAGAAACAAGTTTCTAGCTAATATTGTAGTGTTTAATGTCTGGCTTAAAACAATTCATAGAGAATTTGGGCTCTTAAACTATTTTGAATTTATCATTTAGTTCAATTTAGTTTCATTTATCATTTAGTTGAACGTACAACATATCTCTTATCTCCTATATCTTACCCTAATCTTCTACCCCTACCTCCTACCCCCTATCTCCCACCCCTATCTCCTATTCCCTATCACAGTGTCCTAATGCTTTTTTCGTTATTAATTTTTGGTAACACTTTTTTCGGTTGTGTGCCAGAGCTAACAAGACTCTACGAGTATTGACACATTTTTTTTTTTATTTTCTTTTGTAATTTGATCATTCTAGGTATGAGGTCTCCAATATAACTGTATTAAATAAATTAATCAGTCGTTATTAGTTTTACTCACTTTTTGTCGGTCAACACACGATTGATGTCTTTTTCCAACTTTTTCTCGGTCAGCCTGAAAAGGTTGTTAACAATTCCGTAACCGTCGTCCTGGCTTGCCTTTAAGTTTGTAAATTGATCACCGAAAATGGGAAATCCAATTAACGGCACTCCGGCGTCTATGGATTCCATTATCCCGTGCACTCCACCGTGAGTAATAAAAACCTTGCAATTTGGATGTTCTACAAAACAAATTTATACCTGAACAAAGATGCTCAACACCTGATGTTTTGTTTTCGAATATTACTCAGGATATCCCTCTGCGGTAACCAGGAGTCGACGTAGAAGTTATCCGGGAATTGTCGGCTGTCATTACTGATCCATTTGAAAACAATCTTCTGTTCCAAACGGCCCAAGACGTTCACAATGGTCGCGAAGGAGTCGTTAGGTATGCAAGACACGTCCAGAATGGAGCCGAAATTGAAATACACAACGCCCGCCGTCGCATCGTCCATAAAGTCTTGAAGCCTCTGCAAGTCACACAGTGTTTTAATCGAAATTGGAGCTTGAGATGAAGATGTAGCTAAAACTGAAGCCAAAGTTTAAGCTAGAGCTAGCACTGGAGTTACGGAGGTGGAGATAGAGATGAAGCTGGAGTTTAGGATGGAGCTTGAGATGAAAATGGAGCTGAAGCTAGAGTTGGAACTGGAGTTGGAGTTTGAACTAGAGTTGGAGCTAGAGCTTCTTTGAGCTGGGGTTTGAGCCAGAGCTGGAGCTTGAAATGGAGATGAAGCTAGAGTTGGAGTTGGAGCTACGGGGTGGAGATAAAGATGGAGTTGAAGGTGGAGATTGAGATGGTGGACGTGATGAAACTCTATTTCTGCTTCCCCGTCCCCATCCTTATCTCCAGATCCATCCATGTTAAATAACAAAATCATGACCGAGAGCCTATAACGCTAAATCGTGAAAATAAATTAACAGAGCCTATTCGTGACAAAGAAAAATTATACAATATCCTTCTTTGCCTACTCCTACTTTTCTTCATATTCTCGCTCTGGGTGTCTTATCACATATTTATAATTTCGTATCTCCAATCTCTTATCACATGTTCATATATTTCGTGCAAATTAAAAAATATGTAACGACCCCATCCCATAAACATCACCATGTTAAAATATTTTCAATTCAAACGAAATCCATGTATGTTAGTATTTAAGTAGATTTCTATTATCCTAATGAAAAATGTAAATATTGCTATCCGGCCAAAAACAAATATCATTTTTATAAATCACGTTGTATGTACTTTGCGCGGTTACGTTTTTTTTAATTATTAAGCTTTAAAATAGATTTGAATTTATCAAGAAAGATTACTTTGTCCATTTTTTCATAGGATCGGAGATGAATGCCTGGCACTTCGACAAAACTGGGCACATAAGGACGTGGACTCAATATCATCACGTCGGAATCGATCAGGTGCAGCGATATGTTCTTCAACATATCTGTCATCGATGGTCGGTGCTCGTATCCGGGGTATTGAAAGCAATCGTTCATTATTTTGTCCATTTGAGGCAAGTACGTGATAGGTTCGATCAGGAAACCATACAAGCCTATGGCCGTGTTGGCGAGACGAGCCCAAAAGTCCATCTCTTTGCCGGCGTTCAGTGCAAAGTCTTTGATGTAGGATAAGTCAGAGGGGTTGGCAGCCCATCGGGAAGTCGACGCCCAAGGTGACACGGGAACGATGCTTACCACTGGAGCGCCGTACTTATGGCCCATAGCTACCGTAGCCTCTTGGAAAAACGATTCCAATATGACCAAATCGAACTTGGACTGGTCTTCTTTAATGAATTTTTGAACGGCCGACGCTGATAAGTACTTTCGTGTGTTTTCGACAGCAGTTGTAGAACGCATGAACGGTTCGCTTAGAAACGTATAACTCACGGGGCGTTCACGCATAAGAAAACGCGAAGCTAAACAGACATTTCTGTTTTAATAAATACAAGTATTTGATTCAAAATAATGTTATGTAGTTCTATTTTTTATTAATAAAAAAATATCCTCTGCTACACAGACAAACATATCATGAATAATATATTTTATGGAATTCATTATTCACACACTCCTAACCTAAACTTTACCTACTCAACAAATTCGAATCAACGAATAAAACAATCGAGTAAACGAGTAAACATGTCGAATAAATGAGCAAATGAATTGTGTAAACTAGTAACTAAAATAAGTAAATGATTCGAGTAAACAAGTAAATAAATTGAGTAGACAAAAATCTAGTAAATATATTTATGTTTAGTTTTGTAAGTCAATGAAAAGCTTTCCTTTTTTATTGTATTAATTAATTATACGCTTTACTAGTAGGAGTGTGTTGACATTAAGTTCATATTTATTTTGCTTGTTTTTTACATTGTTTTTTTTTTTTAATTTTATCAGGTAAAAGGTTTGTCATAACCCTCTTTTCGTGACAATGTTACTTGAACATTTTTATAAAAAAAAAAAAACACTCTTTTGTCTCACCTTTACTGAAGTCAAATTCACACGTCACAATAACTTGATTGTAGTTTGGTGGCGGATTTTTCGTCGGGTATTTTGTAACAATAGTTAAGTTGTGACCACGGTTTGCCAACTCCAAGAACAACGGATGGAACGCCGCGATATGACTCTTCCATGGCGATGGTGTAAATACTAAAATATTCGAAGATTCTATCGAACCGGTACATAAGAATGAAACGAGAAACAATAACGTCGTGTAACCCATTTATTATGTTAACTGAATCGTACGCCGATCTAAAAAAAAAATGTTTAAATTCACCAAACACAACACAAAAACAAAATAAAAATATCATTATTATTTTTCTACCATTTTCGTCTAATTTGTTTTTTTTGACAAAAGGTTCAACAACAGAGTGGTTGCTAGTCATTAATATATAATTGTTGGTCCAGATGGTCAAAATATTATAAATCTAACAGTTTTTTATAAATTGTTTTTTTGTACATAATTACAGTTAGTGGAGCCAAAAATCCGGGCTGTGATTCGCTTGTAGTTGGTTGATTACAATTATAAATCAAATATTTTTTTTTATATATTATATAATTTTTAAAGACACTGCCGCCTATAGCTACATAGCCCCTTTCAATAGTACTGAATGTGAATTTATCGGAGGAAACAGTAATTAGATGATACAGATGGCTTGGAGAGTGTTTCCATTTTACGGAACTACATCTGCCTAACGCGAAAGGCGGACCTGGATTCGATGACAACAGTAGCAATGAATATAATGTGAACAAGATTCAAAAAATTTTCTCAAAGAAGAAAAAGAGATCCACGAGGATCAGCCGCTTGTAGGAAATCATTGTAGAATTCGACACAGACGGACTCAAGGGTGTGTTATAAGTCCCAATGGGAGAAACAGCAATAGTGTCGAGCAAATCATTGAAAACCAAGTCGATCAGCTACACATTTGGCAACGTTCTAAAAAATGATCGGCCGGCGACTAAGAGTCTACACGTCTATGCTGCTGCTATAATTCATTTTTATCAATCCTCGGCCAAAATTTTCTAATCTAATCTAAGTACATACATGGTTATTTTTAGATCCTAGCAAGACCAAAGACGTGACGACAAGTAATAAGCCGCGATGACAACGTGAATCCAGCTGGTGTCATGAAGCCACTGCTGATGGCTACTACGTTCACTGTTCTACCTTTGTCTGTTAAATAATAGTTGGCCGGAAGCTATGTTAAATAATCATACTTCAAGAAAGTTTCACAACCAGAGATCAACATCACACATACAGTTGACTAAACAGCGATAAACACTTCCTTCGTATTTTTGTACATTTTTTTTGTATTATTTTATTATTACTTTTTTCAGTATTATTCTTTTTTGTAATTTTTGTTAAGTTATCTTTTTAGTATTATATTTATCTACTTGTTACAGACACGGCGCCAGAATTTTTTTCTTAGGTGGGCGGGAAAGGTCAAGTGAATTTTTTGGAGGGGCAACCACAATAATTTTATCTACTTCTGTCAATAAAAAACAATTATAATGATTTATCAGTGAATGACTTTAATATTTATAAGTGAAATAGTATAACATATGAATTTATTACAGATTAAGGGCCAATATATACTAGTGTACAATTTAAGTAAGGCAACTTTTTTAAATAAGCGTTATTTTTACCTGTCGGCCATCATATAGCTCTTATTGTACTCTATGAAAATCGAAGTAAAAATGAAGGCTTATAAAACGCCCAACAACCAGTCAGTGGAGATAATAGTTATCGTGTTATACCTACATTCTATTAAACCAAAACAATCCGTCAATAAACACTGAATTTTTGGAAAACACACACACAAACGTAAATATTATAATTATATATATATATATATATATATACACCAAAACACATAATTATATGGGCGACGGATTATTGATAACCGATTGCAAAAACACTCAAAGTATATTGATAAAAATAGGCCACATTTGGTGGCAATGTCATAACTAATAACTAAATTTGTATAGATAAACAGGTTTAAATCAAAACAACAATTGTTTTCACAATTTCCGTAATAACTAAATTTGTATATATAAAAATACAGTTATTTAAAATCTGGGTTTTAGGAATAATAATCAAATATTTAAAATTATACTATTTAGCAAAATATCTGGGGGGGCGAGAGAAGGGCAAGAATTTGTTATGAGGGGGCGACCGCCCACCCTCGCCCCCCTTGGCGCCGTCCCTGACTTGTTAATATTGTTTATCATTTTTTATAATTTACTCTGTAGGTTTTTTTTATAATTACAAGAGTAAATTACTAAGAGTAAATTACTAATATAGAAAAATGTAGATCTAAGAACAAGAAAACGTTTAATTAAAACGTATGTATGGAGTACAACATTATATGGTAGTGAAACATGGACGTTGAACAAAAAAGATGAAACCACTCTAGAAGCTTTAGAAATGTGGTGTTGGCGAAAAATGGACGGAAATGAAGACAAACGAAGAAGTGTTAGACTTAGTCAACGAGAAAAGATACTTGCTATGTAATTTAAGATCAATGCGATGGCTTCAGGCTTATGATATGTCATACGCTAAGACACAACGAAGAACTCCATAGCATCATACAGGAAGGTATGACAGAAGGGAAACGAGGAAGAGGCAGCCCAAGAACGTGTTGTATAAGTGTCAAGTAATCAAAGATGCAAGAGTCGATTCGTACAAGCAACTCAAGGATAAAGCGCAAGACCGAGAATCGCGGAGACAACATTTATTGTAGACCAATCTACGGATTGAATACTAATACTTAAAAAAAAAAATTGTGAAAAAAAATTAAGACAAAAAATATGTATTAAAAAAAAATTTCAATCATTTTTTAGACCAGCCGACACATAACAATGCTTTTATCGATTATTCTTTTTTAAATACTAATTTGTAGGTTGTACAAACGTTCACACCGCCGACGAAACTAATTGTTGTTAATTCCATAAATCATCTTTGGGTTTGGGTAGGTGCACGACTGTTGGAAAAAAAAATGAACTCACTGTAGCTCGTATACAACAATATCAAGCGGGATAAAAACCGCTGAAACAAACGATTTTTAGTAAAGAAGAGCACTTAACAAGTTTTCGAAACGCGACTACATGTCTAACGTAGCGACGACCGAAGACGACTGCACCCATGATTGAAATATACAACTAAACAAGGATATTGCGCATATTAGATAGACCCCTTCTTCATCAAATAATCTACAAATATGTCAGCGTAACTGCAGCCTATCAAAATTAAGTATAAAAGTACACAGTGAAACTTATTGTATTAGTAAAGTATACATTTTTTATTCATAGTAATGAATTGATATCCCGTTACGCTGCCATTTTATTTCTGAGTTCTGACTGCACCGCAGACTATATTATGAAAACAGATAGTTCACTCGGCTTATAAAAAAATACCATGACGTAACATGACCCAAAATGTAATTAGTGTAACCGCAGATTCAAGCATAAAATTTCATAATAATATCACAGATTAGATAAAAAGAAATGATCTAATCTGTGATAATATTGTCAGTTATCATTTAAATCTCTTATCAATCGAATGAATGATAAGGAGTTTGTACAGTAATATTATAAAATAGGTATCTGCACAATAATTTATACTAATTCATGCGGCTACATCGATATCTTCGCGAGTCCCTAAACAGTTTTTTTTTTAATTTCCTTTGTTTTAGACCGAGTGAGCTATCTGTTTTTGTATAGTCTGTGATTAAAGTGTGATAGGTACAATGAAAGAGACCAATAACATCTTGCCTAAATTAGGTAGTAAGGTTATGACCAGGTATGATTAGGTTATAGTAGGACATAGTTATGATTAGGTAATAGGTTATGCAAGTACAGTTGCATTCCCAGTTCCAGTTCCCACTACTTCCAAAAATATATGTCGCTCTTGGTTCACAGACATGATGTGCTCAAGATTATATTATAAACGGCTGCAACGGTGCCTTGTGGTATAGGTGGTATAGGTGGTGGTCGTTTCACAGCGGTTCGCGCTTCCGTGGCCATTGCAACCCATACTATTTTAACAACACATAGTATAACAACAACAGAACAACACAAATATGAGTGAAAAATATTATTACATCGTAATTCAAAGTACAGGTGTATTTTTAATTCATTTTTTAAATATAATTGACTGCTATAAAGTTTTAATATACAGGTATTTTAAAACATGCACCACCCAACTATTTTACCCACGAGCCGCCACTGCCTATGACATCAGTTCTATCAATATACCAATCAATTCTGCATTGAATGATTTATCTGTTCACTTATTCACCCAGTTTTTCTAACCCACGTATCTCTGTTTCCTCTAAAGATAAGCTTTTGAATTTTGAAAAATAGATTCAGCTCAAGTAGCTTAAGATACTGTAAAAATTTGAGCCCTTAATAATAACTCTTTTCGAAAAGGGAAAATTTCAAAGTTTTCATTTTTGTTACTGACTCGCTCACTTCACTCATCATCAAAATTATAAAACACTTTCCGTTTAGGTAGAAACGTGAAATTTGGCACAAAGGCAGGTCTTATAGTGTGACTAAAGGGAAAAATCTGAAAGTTGCCATTTTCTCAAAATTAGTGCCGCTTTAGGGCAGGCGCGGATTCAGCCCCCCCCCCCCCCCGTTGGCTATATCATAGTATATTTTGCTTATTTTAGTTTTGGGGCAAAGCTTTTGTTTTTTATTGTTCATAAATTAATTTTATCTTATATTACAAATAAAATCTGTATTAGAGTGAACGCAGACTAATATGTGACCGGTGGCCGACCGATTTGTCTTTTATTTTTTTTTGCTAAAAATAGAATCTGATTGTATATTATTTTGATTACAATTAATATTATATTGTACCTATTACCAGCCGCACAACCTGTCCCATTCATCATGAATCTTGGTGGCCATGTAAACGTAGCCCACGACTCGTTACCGTGGCGAGGATGTGGCGTCTGGCGTCTCTGATAAGGCGGGGAACATGAATCCACGGAAACCTCCACTGAACGCGTCTTAGGACGTCAGATTTAAAAACAATGTATAAGTATATATTTTATAAAAATTATTTATAAATGTACAAATTATTATTGTAACAATAATACATAACCTATTTTAAATGTATATTTTTAAATACGAGTACGATTTGATTTTTATTTCATTTATTATGCTTATAGCTGCGTTTATAAACATATTACTTACATTACTACACTATGTTGGTTTTAAGTGGGTACAAATTATAATAATAAAATACAACACATATTGTGATAAATCCTTTACGACAAATAACTTTTAACGACCCTTACAATTTCATCGACACCTACGTAGCTTATATAAAAAAGCGTACATATTGAAGTGTTACCTTTTAGGTATTTTTTAGTTTTTCGCTCTTGGTTAACCATAACAGTGACGTCCGGATACTCTTGATGGCAATGTAAATAAAATAGGTAAAGAAAATCACCACAAAACCAATAAAAGCAAAAACGTCGATCAAATAGTATTGGTACCAAGTCAAGTGTACTGCTGCTGTTTTCAAGTGATGTGCTCCCTTGTGTCTGATCACGTATTCCACCCAATAAACTGCAGTATCGACGGCGGATAATGGCCGATCGAGAAATATAGCCGACACTCTTTTGGCGTTGTCTGTAAACCTAAAAAAAAGTACAAAAAAATTCTAAGTCGTAATCTAGTGTTAAAACCGATATCGAATTTGGCTTCGATGCGGGTAAAAGTTCACTCTTTGCCAAAACCGGATTAAGAAGAGAGAGGAAGGGAGTGTAGCCCAAGGCCCTAGAAAAATGTTGGGACCTGACATGAAAATGAAACTGTTTTAACTGGTCGATAACCATTTTTGTATAATTACTTTTAGAGTTATTTGTTTAAAATTTAAGACGGAGTGGAGTGCGGTTGAATAATAATACAAATAAATACTTCACTTCACCATTCCTTCTGTCATAAATTTTGAACTTTGATAACTTTAAAATTAATAACTCAAAACGGTTACCGCTCAATCGGAATGTTCAGCAAATTATTCTGAATTATATAGTATATTAAAAAGCAGTAAAAAGCTAGTATATTAAAACATCAAGTTTCTGGCTAATATTGTAGTGTTTAATATCTGGCTTAAAACAATTCATAGAGAATTTGGGCTCTTAAACTATGTATTAAGTTTATTACTTAATTTAGTTAACATAATATATACGTTATCGTTTAACTTTACAAGTCTTGACACGTTTATTTATTTTTCTTTTCTTTTGTGATTTAATCATTCGAGGTATGAGGTCTCCAATATAACTGTATTAAATAAATTAATCAGTCGTTATTAGTTTTACTCACTTTTTGTCGGTCAACACACGATTGATGTCTTTTTCCAACTTTTTCTCGGTCAGCCTGAAAAGGTTGTTAACAATTCCGTAACCGTCGTCCTGGCTTGCCTTTAAGTTTGTAAATTGATCACCGAAAATGGGAAATCCAATTAACGGCACTCCGGCGTCTATGGATTCCATTATCCCGTGCACTCCACCGTGAGTAATAAAAACCTTGCAATTTGGATGTTCTACAAAACAAATTTATACCTGAACAAAGATGCTCAACACCTGATGTTTTGTTTTCGAATATTACTCAGGATATCCCTCTGCGGTAACCAGGAGTCGACGTAGAAGTTATCCGGGAATTGTCGGCTGTCATTACTGATCCATTTGAAAACAATCTTCTGTTCCAAACGGCCCAAGACGTTCACAATGGTCGCTAAGGAGTCTTTAGGTATGCAAGACACGTCTAGAATGGTGCCGAAATTGAAATACACAACGCCTGCCGTCGCATCATCCATAAAGTCTTGAAGTCTCTGTAAGACACATAGTGTTCTGATCGAAACTGGAGATAGAGTTGGAGCTGGGATGAAGTTTGAGCTAGAGCTGGAGTTTGAGCTGAAGCTAAAGTTAGAGTTGGAGCGTCATATGAAGATGGAGCTGAAGATAGAGTTGGAGGTGAAGATAAAGATGGAGTTGGCGTTAGAGTTAAAGCTGAAAATTCAGATGGTGGACAAAAAACCTAGTTTTTTATATAGATATCTTATGACTGGGGGTCATTCTGAAAATTTGTCCGTTATGTTTTGTGTCACAGTGCTGACGTCATAATGGATTATGAAGGAATTATGGAGTTTTATAGAGGAAGGGTATGGAGGTGAATTAGAGATAATAGATTAGAGATACTAGCTTGCAGGACATATCTACGTATTAATGTATCTGCATGAAGTGCGGATACGCTGTAACTTTTTCTCTGCTCCACGGAAAATCATTGAATCATAGATATGATCTCTTATTACTTATCGTTAATCTATTAAATCTTATCTTTTGTCTTTTTTTCATATCAGTAATCTCTAATCTCTTAACTTACCTCAAATATCCAAATGTTTAAAAATATTTTTGAATATTGTCGCGCGAAAATGGTGACATGAAAATTCTGGTAGTAGTAAGCCTAATAACATATCCATGTTAAAACTTATACTCCCAGTTATCTCTACAGGCACTCGTTCAACATCGGAAATTGTAAAACTCTGTTTCTGCTTCCCCGTCCCAATCCTTATGACCATCTTCATCACCTTATTCATTTTAATTAACAAAATCATGACCGAGAGCCTATAACGCTAAATCGTAAAAATAAATTAACACAGCCTATTCGTGACAAAAAAAAATTGTACAAAGTAATATAAAAATATGTAATGACCACCATCCCAAAAACATCACCATGTTAAAATATTTTCAATTTAAAAACATAAAACGAAATCCATGTATGTCAGTATTTAAGTAGATTTCTATTATCCTAATGAAAAATGTAAATATTCCTATCGGGCCAAAAACAAATATCAATGTAAATAAATCATGTTGTATACTTGTATGTACTTTGCGCGGTTACGTTTTTTTTAATTATTAAGCTTTAAAATAGATTTGAATTTATCAAGAAAGATTACTTTGTCCATTTTTTCATAGGATCGGAGATGAATGCCTGGCACTTCGACAAAACTGGGCACATAAGGACGTGGACTCAAGATCATCACGTCGGAATCGATCAGGTGCAGCGATATGTTCTTCAACATATCTGCCATCGATGGTCGGTGCTCGTATCCGGGGTATTGAAAGCAATCGTTCATTATTTTTTCCATTTGAGGCAAGTACGTGATAGGTTCGATCAGGAAACCATACAAGCCTATGGCCGTGTTGGCGAGACGAGCCCAAAAGTCCATCTCTTTGCCGGCGTCCAGTGTAAAGTCTTTGATGTAGGATAAGTCGGAGGGGTTGGCAGCCCATCGGGAAGTTGGTACCCAAGGTGACACGGGAACGATGCTTACCACTGGGGCGCCGTACTTATGGCCCATAGCTACCGTAGCCTCTTGGAAAAACGATTCCACTATGATCAAATCGAACTTGGACTGGTCTTCTTTAATGAATTTTTGAACGGCCGACGCTGATAAGTACATTCGTGTGTTTTCAACAGCAATTGTCGAACGCATGTATGGTTCGTTAAGAAACATGTAAGTCACGGGGAGTTCACGCATTAGAATATTCGAAGCTAAACAGAGATATGTTTTAATAAAAGTAAGTATTTGATTCGAAATAATATTATGTACTTCCATTTTTTATTTATAAAAAAATATCCTCTGCTACAAGAACAAATATAATATTATGAATCATGGATAATGCTTTTTATGGAATTCACACACTCCTAATCTTAATTTTACCCAAAAAATTCGAGACAGCGAGAAAATAAAATGAAACAACAAGTACACAAATCTAGTTTAAACCTGAGTAAACGAGTAAAACAACTGACTGAACGAGTAAACACGTGGAAAAAATGAGCGAACAAATAGAAATAGAAATAAATAAATATAAACAAGTAATTTAAAAAGATAAATTAATCGAGTAGATAAATTGAGTAGACAAAATCTAGTAAATATATTTATATTTAGTTTTGTAAGTCAATGAAAAGCTTTCCTTTTTTATTGTATTAATTAATTATACGCTTTACTAGTAGGAGTGTGTTGACATTAAGTTCATATTTATTTTGCTAGTTTTTTACATTGTTTTTTTTTTTTAATTTTATCAGGTAAAAGGTTTGTCATAACCCTCTTTTCGTGACAATGTTACTTGAACATTTTTATAAAAAAAAAAAAACATTTTTTTGTCTCACTTTTACTGAAATCAAATTCATACGTCACAACAACTTGATTGTAGTTTGGTGGCGGATTTTTCATCGGGTATTTTGTAACAACAGTTACGTTGTGACCACGGTTTGCCAACTCCAAGAACAACGGATGGAACGACACGATATGACTCTTCCATGGCGATGGTGTAAATACTAAAATATTCGAAGTTTCGATCGAACCGGTACACAAGAACAAAACGAGAAACAATAACGTCGTGTAGCCCATTTATGTCAACTGTATCGCACGCCGATCTAAAAAAATACCATTATTATTTTTCTAATTTGTCTAATTTGTTTTAATGACAAAAGGCTTCAACAACAGAATTGTTTTTTTATATCTAATTACAGTTTGTCATTACACCATTACCACCACCACCGTATATTAGCGGAGCTAAAAATCCGTGCTATATTATTCGCTTGTAGATGGTTAATTACAATTATAAATCAAATTTTGTTTTTATTTATTATCGTTTTTTAGGACATCGCCGCCCTATTTGATACCACTGAATTTACCGGATGAAATAGTAATCGATACAAACGGCCTGGAGAGTGTTAAATTCCTCTTTATGTAATTTACAGCTACCTAACCCGAAGGACGGCCCTGGATTTGGTGACAACAGTGGCAATGATTTTAACGTGAATAACATTCAGAAGATTTTCTCAAAGAAGGAAAAGAGAATGACGAGGATCAACTGCTTACTGTGGTCAAGTCAATCACGTCAACCGTCACGACCGCCTACCAGAGGAAAAGGAGATCATACCCATACAATTTGTTACCTATAAAATATATAAAACATTTTTAACATTTCTTATAATTTACTTTGTAGTTTTTTTAAATAATTATTCGCGTTTTATCTTACTTTTTTTAAGTTGGTCATGTACAACGTAAAACGTAGGTACACAAAATTCCACAATTAAAAATTTCACGTGAATGTTCAAAATCGTGTAATAGACGTTTCGAAGATCTCCTTAATTATTATTATGAAATATATAAACGAACACATAACAGACAACTTTATTTAAAAAGACGAAAAAAGTTATAGCTTACCATATTTTTTAAGTTAAAAAATACGAAAATTAGTTGGAAATTGTTTGTATTTTAAAGTGGACGAGGTAAAACTAATTTATTTAGCGTTTAACATAATAATAAATTGAGTATATTATATCTCGTTAATGTTTATTATACTAAAATGATAAAAGTACCTATTCGTATATAAACCTAATCTAATCTAACCTGACCTATTCGTATAATTTTGTTATTTAAAGATTAAATATATATGATTACTATTAAATTTTCATATTAATTTAATACGTACATCATGTGATACACATGAGATTATGTGAATTAATAGGTACTAGCAAAATAATTCTATCCAGTTATTAATGTTAACCTGGCAGGTAGAAAATATAAAATTAAACTACCATATACCTGTTGCAGTTTCAGAGTTATTCTTTCTTTGGACCACACTAATGAAAAAAACACTGATAACAAATTAACTACCTATAGTTAAAAAAAAAATTAGTTAAAAATTACATTCGATAACGTATTATCTGGATAATATAATAAAATATATGAACAAGATCCAATACGCCGTATTTCCATGTTTACATTTAATATTGGGCTTTTGTTTTAGAAAATCATGAATAGATTACTTAATGACCCCGTGATTGACTCTAGTTTTCATAATATTATAACTTTATTGACTTGACTGTATAAAGCATTAGAAAAATAAGGTTTGAAAGGTAAACTACTTACCCAAATTAATTCATACGAGTGAACTTGCCTTTATTGTTTACTAAAACCTTTTAAAGTACCGATTATCGCACGGTTACTTCTCTATTGTTTTAATTTCTTTGATGATAAATTAACTATATAAAATGTTTTTAACGGTAAAATATACCTACAATTTTTTTTTGTTTTACCCCCTCCCAACTTAGTTTTTTTGATAGCAACTTTTGAAACTTAATTGGTAACGCATACATTTCATTTAAATTGAGAATAATGTACTAAAAATGTTGACTTGTCGATAACCAATTTTGGATAACTATTTATAAAATCATAAGAGTTTAAAAGTTAGGATGGGAGTGGAAGTGCGGCTGGGAAATGCGCACAGACAAAACTAATACTACACCCCACCTTTCTTTCTGCCCTAAAATTGAAACTTCAATAACTTCAATCTGTCCACAACTGGTTATCGACCAGTCAATACTTTTTGTACATTATTCTCAATTTAAAAAATAATGAAATGTATGCGTTACTATTTAAGTTTGTTTTTTTGTGAAAAAACTCGTACGAGCGCCCCGTTCTAAATGCTGGATGACTGCTTTTCCACGATAATACCCCTAGTAGGTCTATTTTTTTATTTAAACGGGCTACATTTTATAGTGTGCTAAAATTATGTACACCTGACTACACATAATTTTTATTTTCAAACCATTAGATATAAATATATTTGAAAACAAGAATATTTAAAAACAAACATTTTGAACAGAGGATGTACATTATTAAAATGAACAAATCAAAGATTGGGGTTTGAATTTTTGGGGGGGCTAAAATCCCATAGAACTCCCCTAGTTGCGCCTATATGGTTTTAAGGTGTGAATTTAAACAGCAATCACGTCACGTTTACAATCAGCTAGTAGTATATTTTATATTTTCGAGTCGCCCTTACGGGCGCAAAATGAGTAAACCGAAAGGTTTGCTGAATAATCGAAGGTGAATTTGAAAAATTATCCTGACCTAACAAAAAAAATTTATACTTCTCCAATGGCCTTTGGTCATCGGGTACCACTCATAAAAATATAAAGTGTAAGGTATTTGAATCTATTGACTTACTGTGAAAATATGTACAAGCGAGATAAATTTGGCGGCACAAAAGTAAATTTAAAGTAGATCATAGCTAAAATCCGATCGGTCGTTAGATTTTAATCCGCGATATCCGGTGAACCAGTTTTTTCACATAGTTAGTCTATAGATCACAAATCGTACTCAAAAATTATTAATATGACCAAAAATTAAAAAAAAAATGTTACTACCTTCTTCTTCAAAATCGAAGAAAATTTTGTCAAAAAAGGAGAAGTTGTTTTCTCCTTAAACTTACTGCATGCTATAGTTATTTGCAAAATAGTTGAATTAGTTCCAAATTTTGGTCAATTTTGGCGCGCTATCGCTATGCAGTTTACTGTTTAACAAACTGCAAACAACCAGTTTTTTTTCTATAGGAAGTGGATATTGGCCTTTGGGAGTAATGCGATTTGGGAAAAGTTGTAGTAACCCCAATATAAATTCCGTATACGTTTTCTTCTTATCTGGTTTTTAGATAACACGAATCGGTAAACAATAAGTGTTCTGATTGTTATATATTTTGTCGGTGTCAATGTGTCATAATAATTGTATAAATAGTGACTGCTTGTTATTTTGAACGTTTGTTTAATTATAACAAAAATATATGTACCTAGTTTCACTTTACAATTGTACTATACACATTCATTTTGTATCTGATTTTTTCTATATTGTTATTTAATCGTGTGAACCGTATTAGGTATATAATTGTGGTCATCATGTTGTAAGTGCTAAAACCTTATTAATAATCGATATAATACAATACTTTTTTGTACTAACTCTAGTAATGTTGTTAAGGTCTTCGAATTTGTCAGACAGTAGTGAACAATCCGAAGAAGAGGCGCCCAAAATGGAGAATTCAAAAAAAAAGAAAAGCAAGAAACGCACTTATGACGAAAGAGTGACATCCAGGTTTTACACTCAAGATGATGATCAATGCGATCTTCCATACATGGCTGATAATGTTAAAAAAAATAAAAAAATAAAAAAAAGTCGAAATTTTAAGAAATCACCACATTCCGAAAACGAAACGCCTTACCAGTCATCATCTAACGTAATAAATAATAAACATATTATAATTATTCTATACTTTATTTTATTTTTTAAATATTGCAGAGAATTTTAAATAGAGATACAGAGATCAGTTTTAGTGGTGTAAATGATCTAAACAATCAAGAAAAATCGTATTTAGATAATCCTTGTAATTTTATGAAAAATACAGCCAAGCCAGGTACCAGGTCTTTTAAGTTTCAAGTTTGTATTGTGCATTTTAATTCTTTATTGTTTGAATAGAATTTCATGAGAAGGATTCTGACAGCAGTTCAGACAGTGATTCCAGTAATCCATCTTTCTTTGGAGAACAATCAAATAAACTAAAAAATGTATTTAAAGAAGATAATGCCTTTACAAAGTGGTCGAAGAAAAGCAGTGACTCTGATTCTGATGATCCAGTATCGAATAGTTTTGATAACACGGAAAAAAGTAGTAACAAAGGAATGTCGTTAATGGTAAATTCATTTTATTTTTATTGTTAATCAATTTATCTACTATTTAGTTGATATTTTTAGAAAAAAATTGGTTACAAAGAAGGAGAAGGTTTAGGAAAAAATGCCCAAGGCTTGGTCAATCCTGTACAGCTGCCAACTCAAAAAGGGCGAAGAGGCTTAGGTTTTAGTTCGCAAGCGCCGAGAGAAGCTTTTGTCTTAGACTGGAATGCTGAAATGAAAGAAGTATTTATCTGACTGAAAATGTTTCTGTTGTAACAGGTAACTATTTTTCGTACTGATTTTAATTTATAGTCCACAGAAATATTAAAAGTAACAGAATGGTTAGAAAATGATGTTCCTTCGGTTTTTTCGTACAACAATATGGTGTATTGGATTAAAACGGGTGAAAAAAAGTTGACTTATGATCAGACAACTGAATTTGCAGATCCTGAAATCTTTAAAGTCGTTAATTCTAGTAAGGTAATGAGTTTTATTTTATAACAGACAGAATTTAATTAAAAACTGTAAAAGTAAATTTATTTGTTTAGAATGTGTTGGATAATATTGACGATCATGATTTTCGCAATGCTAGGACTAAAGCAAATCCGTTTGAAACGATAAAAAATGGAATATTCCAAAATAGAGCTGCAATGAAAATGGCTAATATCGATTGGGCGTGTGATTTTATGTTCACCGATCCTAAATACAGCGACGAGGTAAATAAATGTAAAATATTAAACAATATGTATCATGTGTCAGCCTTAAAGTTAGAAAGACAATTAAAAATCCATACATGAAATTAATTTTGAAATATTGGTTACTTCAGTTGAATATAACCAAATAATTTCTAAGTTGGTAGACATTGGCTCGTTGTCTTCTATGATACTTGGCCATCGATTATCTGCTTATATTTTCTTTGTTTCAGACAAGTATGCTGTCAGGGCCTAGCGATTTAGTGTACTTTGCAGATATATGTGCGGGACCTGGTGGCTTTTCAGAGTATGTCCTTTGGCGAAAAGGTTGGAGGGCCAAAGGCGTAGGATTTACATTACGCAACGACAATGATTTTAAGCTAAACGATTTCTATGCTGGCTCTCCCGAGTCTTTCCAGACATTTTATGGTAAACCTTTTTTTAACATGATAAATAACTATTAAAATGCGCCAACATTAGGGCGATTTGACACCGATTATTCCTTCTTTGTTTGTCTCAAGTGTAACATTGGAATTTATATGTATTTTTTGAACATCAATATCGATCACGCTACTGATGGAATAAGAAATCTGTCAACACGTTTGAATCCATTATTAAATTTATTTAAATATTTTCCAGGGATGGTCACATCACCTAATTTTATTTTAGAAAATGTTCACTTATAGCTAATATTTTACTTACACCCCTATGGCCCAGGGCCCTATATATATTAACAAAGCAAAGAGTAATCCAAATTGGTGTATAAATTAATCCATATTTCAATAAATTAAGCCATATTTTTGTACCATAACATTTCCGGAGTGATGCACGATTCCAATATACTACTTGGAAAATTTAAAATTAAATGATTTAGATGTATATTAATAGGTGGTTAAACGTCCCTATAGTAAATTGTTACAATTTAGCAATACAACATATTTTGATCGTCTATCATCTATTAGCTTCGTTATTTTCTGGTTGCTAATGGCGAGTAATAATAATATTCAATAAGTGTATGGTCTTATTAAGGAGAAAAATGGTATAAAGTGATTTATGTTTTACTTAACAAAAACCACCTTAATATAAAATGGTATTATATCTAAATAATAATAAGACATTAAAGTATTTTTTATATAACTTCATTCAGGTTCTGCGGAAGACGGTGATATTTACAAACCAAAAAATATCAGTAGTCTAGAAAAGTATGTTATGGAAGTAACCGACAACGAAGGTGTACATTTTGTTATGGCTGATGGTGTGAGTATAAAAATGTACAATATATCAATCCAGTACTTTCGTCATAGCATTATTATTATGTATTTTCAGGGATTTTCTGTTGAAGGCCAAGAAAGTTTTCAAGAAATACTATCTAAACGTTTATATTTATGTCAAGCTTTAACTGCAATTAGCATTTTACGGCACAACGGTCATTTTATGTGTAAACTTTTTGATATATTTACAGAATTCAGCGCCGGACTTTTATTTCTTTTGTATAAGTGTTTTAAACAAATAAGTATTTATAAACCAGTGACGAGTCGTCCAGCAAACTCCGAAAGGTATTTACTAAACGATAGTACGTACATTTAATTTTCTAGATAAATTATTGATATTAATATAAAATATGTAAGATATGTAATTTGCAAATGGAGAAACGAGAATGTTGACGTCATTAAGAAGTACTTGTATAATGTGAATTTAACATGGAACGAATTGAGTTCAAAAGAAGACATCTTGACTATTGTACCACTTGAAGAGATATTAAATGATAAATCTTTTTTTGAATATTTATGGAAATCAAATAACGAGTAAGTTTTATGTTTAAATTTGAAATTAAACGTAAAACATAAAATTGCCTTTTACTTGGTAGATTATTGTCATGTACATCATCGGACTTAAGATTTGTTTTTTTTTATTTAGACTGGGGCAGATACAAGCATTAAGTCTATCAAAAATTGTTGCATTTACAAAAGATCAACGTTTAGCTGACGACAGACAGAAAGACCTTAGAAAAATGTGTTTAGATCTTTGGGACGTTAAGGACGATGTAAGAAAAGCTCCTCCAAGAGACGAGGCCCCGGCTGCTTGTAATAAGTTCATTACGGGGTCAAGAGGTAAGTATTCTTTTTAGTCTTGTGAGTTAGAGCAAAATTACTATGCATTGTTTTTTTTTTCTGTGTAGATTTTTTAGAATGTTCTCCGGAAAAACTTAATCAAGAAAACCTAGCGAAAAATATTAAATCAAAGTACGACTGGCATTGTGTTTTGCTTAATGGAACTAAAGCGCCTACATTTTTTTTAAGTAACTGAAATTGATTATGCTTTTTATTTCGAAATTTAATAATGTACTCTACACTTAAGGCTTAGGTGGTAGTCGAGTGTACGAACTCAGCGATCATCATCGTTGGATATGTAACGATTCTTTAAAAAATATCACTATGAGCCCTGGTACACTCGTTTACGGAGAACTGGCATATGAGTTCGAAGGTGAAAGCCTCGGTCAGCTCAGGGTAAAAGTATTACATATTATTGACGCGTACAGGCTCGGCAACATAGATATCAGTAATTATAGTTATTTGACCAGGTAAGTTAAAATTAAGTCAAAAGCTAGTGAATTCCGCTAAAGCAAATTTGTTTTTGTTATCGCAGAGTCGAATATTGTAGAAACTTTGCAAAATCCATGAATAAACAAGATCCTGATCAAACTAAAATCAGAGTAAAAGAACCCGTTTACTTGACAGAAATATCGGAGATGTTTGAAAAAATAGATTTGAGATGGTCAAAATGCCACCGAAAAGATGTACAAATGTATTCGTTGGACGAACGCAAATATTGCTCTGCCACCGGAATATTATTTATTAACGGCACGGCGAGTTAGTGCATCCAGTACTGAATTGTCAAATTAATAAGTACGATTAGTAATATATATGTATATATTGTCTATCTTTTTCAGAACCTTGGATCAGAGCTTATTCTCGTACTTATAGTAAAATATATTATTGGCATCCAAATCAACAGCCCATTTACGAAGAACAAAATCCCACTGCTGCATACGCCTCTTTTAGGTATAAAAATTTATTTCATTTTCATTAATATTTTAATTTTTTTACCAATCGTATCTTAACTAGTTTTCAATTGGAATACAACAGTCGATACTAAAATATAGTATCTATTTTTGTCAAAAACAAATTTACATTGTAATTAAAAAGACAATAATGTAATTATTGTTTAATTTTGAATGTTATTACAAATTATAACCATAGTAGTTGTTATAAAATATTATATTAGTACACGTTTTTACTTAATAAATTTGCTCATGCTTTCAGGGAATGTTGTAGGACTAGTAAAATATGGCACTGGATAGACGATTTAGGAAATCCAATAACATCAACAAAACAGCTGCAACAAAAAGATGTATTGAACATTCTGAAATGACTTCCTACTCTTACTTTTTATGTTATTTAGCTATGCATATTTTGTTGATTTGTTATTTTATTACATTTCAAACATTAACTTTGTCATATACTTAATTTTAGACTGAGTCAAATGAATAAAAAAAAAATGTTGTTGTCATATACTATGTATATATATTTTATTAAGCATCAAATTTTATATGACGCTCGTAAAAATACTTCGCTGTGTACTTTAAGAGTCAATAATTAATAAAAAAAAAAAACTTTTTTTTTGGGGGGGGGGCTAGATGATATTTCGTTTTTTTTGGTTTTACCCAACAAGTAACCACAGATGTGACAAACGTTTGACGAAAATCATATTGAGAACGTGTTACCCGGAAGATCAAAGGTCAAGATCATATTTTGACCTAAACTATAATACAATATAATATTAGTTCGATAAGAAAATAATAATAATGTAATACTATATCAGGAAAGAGGACAATGTTTCATACCACCACGCGGATGACGTCGTACACTGTTTAGCAATGATAGGAATTCGGTATAGGTATAGAAATAATAATTGTTGCAGATAATCTTAAATATACGAACAAACATAGATGTTGCCAAACGGAGCCATAAAAACCAGATAGACCATGTAATAACGAATTAAGACCATTTCAGCGAAGTAGCACAGGACAGAGAGAATTGGAGGAATGTTTGTTTTGCAGCGATGGGCCTCAATGGCCTAACTACATGAAGGAGAAGAAATATAACTTTTTAATCTCCTTAACCACTGATCCGATTCCTTTAAGTACCTAGTAAGTCTATAAACCAGAAATCGTACCTTAAAGCAGTATAATGTACTTTACTGGACAATAATTAAAACAGTTCGTCCCTTAAAGCTAGTACAAATTAATCTGTAAATAAATTGACATGGTCGATATTTATTAAATCCCTTTTTTTTAATATTGCCTTTATAAAGCTCGTTAAAACCACCCTCTTTCAATCCCTTAGGATCTGAAAATTAGACTGAAAATATATCTTAAATGGGGCTATAACATAAGGCTAAGTACTCCGGTAGGTTATATGACGTAGGTATCTTTTATCGACACAAAAATAAAACATCTTAAAAATGTCAACAGAAGTTTTGTTTACATATTTTTAAAAAAATATTTTATAGTTATTTTTTGGTCAAAATTTGTTTTACAAATGCTGTATACAAAATGTTGAAAAAGATTCTGAAAACATTTTATGTTCGTGTTGAACAAAATGTATCGCCTATTAAATATTTGTTTGACCTTATTTTTAATTGAAAACGTAGTTTTTTTTTAAACAGAGAAATACGTTGCGCTCTTTAATTTTTTTTAAATTATACATTAATCATACCTACCTCATTATATCCGTACCTAATCTGTGAATGCTACCACTTGTATAATGTTTTTATAACGATTTTAAATAAGTCAAACTTCATGTATATAAATGCACCTATTTTTATTTTATTTAATAAAAGTATAAAATTATATATTTTAACTTGACTCTTTTATTTATAGTTAATGCAGGAAACGAATATATAAATACAATGTACATAATATGGATCTATCGGGTTTAGATTTGGCATTTTTGGTCTTATAGCTGGCTGCCGGCCTAACGCTACCAAACAAGTTGGCCCCAGAGAGAGGTGATGTATAATTTAATTTATACACTTATGTAATTAACATTTTCCAGATCCAGATCTAGAACAACTATAGTTATTGTTTAAAAGCATAAATTTGAGTAGGATTGATAGTGAAGTCACAGACAATTTTTGATTACTGAAAAAATATTTTTTTTTTTAAAAACAAAGTAAATAACTAAATCAGACGTTATTTAGAGAAGATTCAGATATTTTTGTATTTTATATCGGGTAAAAATGTTGGTTAAATAAATTTTAAATCTTAAAACTACAAAAAATAATAACATAATAACAATCACAATATTCGTTTTCGGTAAAAGTAATTTATCATCACCAGGGCTTGAATTGATTATAGATTACTTGTGTTTTAAATAAGTAAAAGTTATACTTTTAAGTTTTAACTTTACATTCGTTTTTAACTATAATTTTAATTATACTTCACCCTGTATTTCAAAACAGTATTAAATAAGTTTTAAAATAAACGTTCCATGAACAAATGCATTGATAAAATAATGTTTTAAGTACCTACCTACCTACTTTTAAAATTTAAGTTTTATACAATTTTTTTATTTAATTAATCTGTGTATAACTTATAGATTAACTGTATATATTTAAAAAAATTTCATGCTGTTATAAGGGAAGGGGGTTGAATGAGTTTTGGTTTCCGAGTTCCAAGTAATAAGTACCTAACTTTAATAGTAGTTGCAATTAAGTATGTGGATTATGGGTTATTTCCAACGTAGGTACACAGTTAAAACATCTAAAACACAAAACAAAAAAAGATTATTAAAAATGAATCCACAAAGTTATGACTTTTTAGTCTTTACCTATTGTTCTGTCATTATAATAATATACTTACTGCTCGCTGCGATGATGTTTTGACAATGGCCGATTTCGCAATGACCAATATCTTTTATTGTCCTTTCAGAATCTAATTTCTTTTTCTTTTGTTTTATTGTGCCTTGCAATTTGTGATTGAGCATAATTAAACGATCAAAATTCATTATTTTAATACAATCTATTATTTTTTTAATGGAGATGATATAGGTATTACACTGCGTAACTAAACTTAACGTTTTTTTTAACATGAACCAAAATACATTTTTTTGGATTTGTTTCGCTGTACCCGAATCTAGACTCAGATTTTCCTCAGTACGTCAATATTTTTTTCAAATCCCGCCAAATAAGTAAAATCGTAATTTTTACTATTTTTATTGGAGGTTAAAAAATAGTACACAAATTCTGATGTCAGTTCCGAATTCAACAGAGAAAACAGAATAATTAAAACTGGCGTACCAAAGAAAACCTGAGTCGGATTCGGATTCAGTTAAAAAAAAACTAAAATATTTTGGTTCTTTTACTACCTATATTCCCAAATGGGACAGGATTTCGATTCGTCGAATTTAGATACTACTAACTATTTTTGAACATAATATGTTTGCACGTCATACTGGTTATTTGTACATTTAGTAGCATATTTCATATTTACCTAAAATAATAATACAAACTATACTACTTTACTCATATAAATCTAATATGAAAAATTATAGAAATATTTAATCCTGACGATGCTTTGTTTAAATTCAATTTTTCGTTCTTATCTTCGGTTCTAAAATCTCTCGAAAAAAACGGGCAAAACTTTATCAAATTCGGTTGCTTTTATAAATGTCGTTATAGAAAAATTAACAACTTTAGCATGAGCTTCTCGAGGCAAACCCGTGTACATTAAATAACAAAAATTCTGTATAATATAAAATATTGTCTGAAATTTCTAGAATATTAGATGGCAAAATCAATTCTCTGGGAATTATTATTGAAACTATAAACGGTATCATTTTAAATGTACAAAAACATGTTGTCGGATCGTCGAAGGTCTTTTAAATTTGAAAACGTCAGCAAAGTAATATTGTACTTCAATGTAATGCTCACAAGTCGCACGAAAAATACCATACACAAATAATTTTATTTAATATACGATTATGCCACTAGCCGGCTATAAAAATTACTAAGTTTTTACATTTTAACTGTTTTAACAGTGTCAATTGTAGTAGAAATGTAACATGTTTATTTAATTATTTTTATTTTGTGGGGAAAAAAATACATTTAGACGCCCTACAGTTAATAGAGAAATTCCTGATAATTTAATCTATATAAAAAAATTGTACACCGTAAAATTTAAAAAATTGGGCATTGAAGGCATAACAAAAATTGTATAATTGGTGTAATATATTATGATGTTTTAAAATGCATGTTACAAGTCTGTATTCAGAAACGTGTAAACAAATTTATATATTTTTTCATATTCTATGAACAGTTAAAAAACGGCTATATATTGCGGTGATCTAAACGGGTATTTTACCTAATCACGCCGTTATACGTGTAGTAACCGCACGGAATAGGTATAACTTACGGCATTGCACGGTCACTACACAACACTTGGGTGTACGGTGAATGTAACAATAATGCAATAATGAGAATGATAATTATTATTATTATCGTTACGTAGGTATTTGAAAACGGTTGCACAGCCGTAGAAGATCAATGCTGCGCGTTTGAAAGTAAACTAAAAATAATAATAAAAAAAAAAAAACCTAACACCTATGTCCTATTCGCTCTCCAGCGGCCAAACAGGTCTGTATGTACAGGTATAATAGTAGGTGAGTAGGTCGCATCAATAAAATCAAAACAAACGGATAATATGCATACATTCAATTGCGCTGGAGATGTTAACTTGTATCGCTAATAATTTAAAACACATACTCGATTTTTAATTTTGCGAATTAAACCTAATACAAATATGCGTACCCGTTTTGTTTTACAACAGAAATATAATATGCGATTCGTTTGTTTACTGTAATCGGCACACTAGCCCGGGACAAGAGGTTCGTCGAACTTTTTAGCTGGTAAGTATCCTCCCTGTTTATATTATTATAGATATAAGTATTTTTTTCTTAACTACTCGGCGTGGGTGCATTCATAGTAGTAGCAGCTGTATAATAGGTACGCTGTCGACCGGATACACGGAAAGTAGTATAATATCAAACGTCTAATCGTTCCATTGTAATATAATATTATCTCCCTATCACTATTACATACAAGACAAATTAACAACAAGTAATGCGTTTAATTACCAATACAATAAAGCACGAATGACGTTATACATGTTGTACCGTTACGAATGGTTGTATTATATTATGATTTGTAGGTACCTACTTTATAGCAGTTGCCTATTATAAAAAACATTTAAATAGGTAGTCGTTATTCTGTACAACCAACTTCGATGTTATTCGTCTAATCCGATTATGACCTAAGATTTTATCTAGCTTGTCTAGTTATTTTCCAGTTTGCTTCCAGTGTAGTAGCGAACGTCGTTTTGTAGTATTTTTGTTTAATAAAACAATAATTATGAAACTGTTATAAACTATTACAGTCCTTTCAATCAATATCTCTTCGCCTCATTACTAATGCCCCATGGTGTATGTTAGCAACCGAACCCTACATAACGACTTAAAAATTCCAACAATACCTGATCTAGCTATCCAATTCTATAAAAACTTCCACAACAACACCTTCAATCTAAATTATCTTCCCTCACTCTTCCTGACAACCCACCACGCCGCGTTAAGCATAAATGGCCCAGAGATCTTCTTAACCCAAATGTAAATATATAAATAAATTTAAAAATTAAAAAAAAACCACATCACACTCTAGTTTAATAAAACATTAACTTACACAACTGGAGTAGTGTCAATGGACGCCCCCTTCAATCAAGTCGTCCAGCGTTGTAAATAAATTAGCCCTAAATTTTTCTTATTGAATATACTAATACAGATTGTAATATTTTCAAATAAAAAAAAAAAAAAACTATTACAAGGCACATAATTAATTATTTCAATTAGCTTTTTAACGCATAACTCATTGTTACAGATAAACGCCAAAACATTTTAATGGGCAACTCCCATTATTATCGCCTAGAGTTATTAAACGTTTACACTCTACCGTTTGAATTTTTTTTTTTGCTTATAATATTACTTAATTATCGTTCTGAATCTTGTCGAGTTTGAAACAATACCGAGTACACACCGTAGAAACAGTTATTATTACTATACTATTATTAATATTATTTTTGTCATTTTATTAAAAGAAAATGTCCGCGGGCTATACGTGAACTCCGGAGCAAAGGATAATCCGGTGACCGCGGGGCGTACAAATATATTATATTATGGGATAAGAGGAGCCTGATTAAAGAGACGAACACTGTACAAACTTATAATATGGTATCTACAGATTCAGGTGGAAACGTCATCTAAAGATTACATCGGGCCAGCCCTTTAAAGCTTCGTGACAACATAGGCTTTGTCGATATATATGCACACAGCATATATTATATAATGCTACAGCCAATCTCGGGGGATTAGAAGGTAGGTAGTGAGAATAATCACGGTTTTAAACCTACACCTAAGTCAGCTGCAAAGGGGCGATAAAATATTTTACTTCCGGTGGTGTATTAAAAAAAAAAAAAAATACATTTCAAGGATCTATATCAACCCGTAGAGTAAACACAATGATAAATTTAAGACGTCATCCGTTGCTCTGGAAATAATTATAAATTTGAGTTTTTCCATTTAGGACGTATTCTTTTGTTTTTATAATTCATCTTTATATTACCTACGGTATACATTGCTAAACTTTTATTTTTATAACATTTTTTTAACTTCGCAAAAATTTGATCGGTGACTCATATTATATTATACTTTAAATGCTTATTGAAACGAGGAGACATGACTTAAAAATATTTGTATATTGTATTTTATAAGTATAATTCGTGTGTTCTATAAATTGCTTAAAACCTAAACTTTTGGAATAAAAGATTATACATACAGGGTGATCCATTTAACGTAAGATACCTAATATGTCTAAAAATAATTTGAACTTCGTAGTTTTTTTTATAAACATTTTTGATTATGTTCTTTTACAATAATATAAAATTTACTTAATATTTACCTTTATTATATAGTGTTTTCCAGAGCTCTATTATCTTTTTAAACTTAAATAGTAACGTATATACTTAATAAGCTTTAAATTAAGAATGATTTGCTGAAAATTTTGACTGGTCGAAAAACAGTTTTGAAAAATTACTTTTAAAGTTATTCAAGTTTAAAATGTAGGAGGGGAAGTGTATTGCGGTTGAGTAATGCGCCCAGATAAAAGTAATACAACACTGCACCATTTACCTTGACCAAAAAGGTAAATAATTGATAATTTTATAATATTGTAAAATCACATAATTACATATTTTTTACAAAAGAAAAACTACAAAATTGTAATAATTTTCCGAGAAAATAAGTGTCTTACGTTAAATGGATCAGAGTGATCCATACAGAGTACTGTGTATTGTACTTTTATACTGTTTATTTATATAACTTAATCACACTTTAGGTACAACTTAACGGTAAAAACATATTTTATTGATTTATGATCTCAGATAATTTATAGCATCACTAAATTCGATTTATGTATATAATTAATTCTTAAACCATATAGGTAGTCTCAGTGTAATATCAATGTCGAAATCTGCTCTTATATTTCAACAGTGTTTTTCTACATTAACCACAAATTTTGCTGTTTTTAGTGCTATAGTTCATTATTATTAATACTAATTATAAAAAATTAAAATTTCCCAATGGTTATTTAATAATCTTTGAGCCATTGATTACATTTATTAATCAGACCGTAAAAAAAGTGCACTAACGAAATAGAGAGATGTGGTTTTTGTATTTTATTTCTATATCACAATTATTTTGTTTCTTAACCTACCTTAAAAGATTTTTTTAACTATTAAATCCTATCAGTGTTTACGTTACAACATAACATAACAACAACAGCTGATGATTGTGACTTACTCTAAATTAGACTTGCTATGTGCAGAGACGGATTAGCTTACCGGGCTTATGTGCTACCTATCACCCAAATTCACAAATTGTAAATAGCTATGTTTTTTGAATTTTGAAACCCCAAATGCTAAAATATAAATTTTAGGTTAAAAAAAAATATAAATATATATTTCCAATATTCTGTCTTAAAGATTTTAGATTCTGGGTTTGTTAGAATTCTACACACTTGATTTAAAAAAAAATTATAATACACAAAAATGTAGAAATTAAAAAATATTTATTATTTTCTAAACGTATTGTTGATGTTCTGTAGAAAACATCATGTAAATATAATATTCGAGATTAATTTTGTTGATTATATTTTGGCAACAACTCATATTATTGATACATGTATATTTTATTTTTATACATGTTATTATTTTTTTTGCTACCAAATTATTATGTAAACATATGTTTACAATGATAAAAAATATTATAACAATTATCATAAAGTTAATAATTTATTATTTTTCAGTAAAATTATTTTAAAATATAGTGTTTCTGCGTGAGTCTAATTTTTATAATTTTAAAGTGTCAACTAATGCTTAACGGTGTTTAACTAATAGTATATTTTGGTAGACAGGTTGATTCATTACGGAAAAACCACCCATTTTTTCTTAAAAAAATCCAATTTTGTAGTTTTTATTTTGGACACACTTTAGTTTATATCGTCTTTAAGTATTAGATAGTATTCAAATTTGTATCTTTTTTTTCTTCCAGTGATCTATCAACTTTCAAAATTAAAACGGTACCGTACAAGCTTAATTAAACTTTTTTACTAAAGCATATTTTTCTGAAAATGTTGACTGGTCGATAACCAGTTTTGGATAATTACTTTTAAAGTTACTGATGTTTAAATTTAGGATGGGAGGTGTAGTGCAGTAGAGAAATTAGAGGAGATAAAAATAATAATACTTTTTATCCACCCTTCCGTCCTAAATTTTAAACTTTAATAACATTAAAAATAATTATACAAAACTGGTTATTGACCAGTGAACGTTTTCAGCAAAACATTCTTAATTTAAAAGCTTATTAACATATACGTTACTATTTAAGTTTCAAAAGTTGATAGAGCCTTGGAAAGTATTAAAAAAAGTAAATATTTAGTAATTTTATATGTTGTAAAATATAATACAAAATAATAACATTTGTTTGTTTCATCATGACACAATTACAATTAAGATTATGAAATGAAGGTATCATGATGATGGTAGAAATGATGTGTAATAGACTTAATATTAAGATGAATCTTGAAAGAGCTGTGCAAGAGCATAAACAAAAATGTTTTCAAAAAGGAACACTACAACATTGCAATTATCTTAGGAGATATCGAGTGTCTTATCCACAATAAATCAGCCTGTATATATTCAAATTGCTACATCTGCGTAACCTTCATCTATCAACATTTCGGCTTTACATAGTTAAACATTTTAACCTACAAATGCAGTACTGTTAAACTATGCTTAATTTTTTAAGCTAAACCGTCGAGAACGCATTTCTCTTATCTTCCCTATTTTCGAAGGCCTTTTGAAATAAGCCTAAAGCCCATAAGTGTGTACACTGAACAAATAGACGTTAATAATTATTAATTATGTTTTGTAACCGGTGACTAACCGTTAAGTGTACGTAAGCGTCATAATATGCGTTTAAATGCGGATATTGTATATCAATTTGCATTACAATAGTGTATAATGTTTAGGTGGGAATATCAAATTGAATAGGTACTACCTAGAGACATTTTCAAAATCAAGACGATGCCTTGGACATTCGACCTTTATTGTTGCACCGTCGACAGATATATTCAATCAATGCAACATTGAATATTATATTTTATATTATAATGTTTTTAGATTACGTTCAGGCGGGCGACTTCAGAGAACTTTGGAATAACAAATAACTTGTAAATGGCATGTACCTACTGTGCGGCTGTACTGTGATAACTCATCAGATTCCGCATGCACGTGCGATTA